ACAGACAATAGACCAGCCTTTATAGCAGCTCTCAAGATGCTATCTGATCAATATGACATTCACCACATACATATTTCATCTTACAACTCACAAGCACAGAGAGTTATTGAGTGCTGCCATCTTAGTTTTTGAGAATTACTGTTCAAAGCCTGTGGTGATATCCAGAATAAATGGTGCTAAATAGCACATGCTGTGATCTGAGTGGAATGAGTTACACCCTTATAGACAATAGAGAAGAGCTCTTTTGAAGTAGCAACAGATGTGAAGCTCATTCTCTCTTTGAATATAATAGAGGCTTTCTACTTGGTGAAACTACTGACCATGGCAATTTCAACAGCTGAGCTGATAGCAAGATAGGCTATTGCTTTACAAAAGTGACCCACTGACTTAGAACAGTGACACACCCTCTCCATGTTCAGGCATATAAATTGCAAAATTTGAGAATACATGGACTATATTCCAGTCCATTAAGCATATAACAGAAAAATAGGACTAGAGTGCAAAGAAACATAGTTATTATAAGGCTAAACTGAAGTAACAATGAGCAGAGTGCATGGCCTAGTGATAGACTAATACTAGAGGGGTTAGACTGCATGTGAGGTCTCAGTACTTGGCCCTAAATATACCAATATCATCACAATAAGACATGCTAAAAATAAAAAGAATATGATCAAAATATGATCAGCAATCCTGATCACATTGATCAAGAATGCATATTATTGATGCACTGATGGGACATGCCTTAGAACAGAGAACTGAGACCTAAAGAAAGGTATCTGAATAACTGGATGTTGAACAGAGAAATGAAATGATGACAACAAAGTAATAAATAGAGAAATACCACTAAAGAGTGAATAGTACACATAATGCTCAGAGACTTATGCATGTAGTTACAATGCTTTAGTGCACTTAGCACTGTGAAGGACTACACATTATACTAAGATATGACACATACCCATTAGATGGATTAATTGATGTGTGTCAGACTAGAAGTGGCACATATAGTGAGTCAGATGGAATGTCTGAATACTGAGAAAGAGAATATAGTCATTGTGGCTGACTCTAGATATGAGAGATAACCCCAGGGATCTGGAACAGTTCTTTGGTGTCAGAATTCTTCACCAGAGAAATAAGAAAGCAAGCAGACCTGGCTAGGCCAGCTAGCTGATGTCAGCTAGTAAGAGAAGAGCAGGCAGTCCTGATCCAGAATAGAATAAACATTATAACTGCAATATGCACATAAATAATACCCATAGAATTCAGCATGGAGTCTCATGCTTTGAAGATACTATAGTAGGATTATATTAGTAAGTACCATAGTAGAGTATTTAAGTATCACATTGTAAGAGTAGTAGACAAGTTTCTGACCCCCTACAGTTGCAGTGTATTGAGCATGAAGATCTTGTACTCCAGCTCTGGATTTGTGTTTGTAACTTCAGATGAGAGAATAGACCTATTATTGATATCATTGAGAGAGATTTGAGAATTGCATAAGACACAGAAGCTTGCAAGAGACTTGAATTTGATTTGATAAGAGGTTTTGGATTGTGCTTTAGCCTGAGAATAAGAGAGTGGTGTCTGAAGGGCACTATCTTGAATTTTTAAGGCATTTGCAATGTGTGGCACTATAGGTGGCAAAGGTTCAGACCCTTTGGCTTGATTAGTGTGTGCTTTTGGGCATTTCTGCAGATCAGCAGAGGTTCAAGCTCTTTGGATCTGTCAGATGGAGTTTTTCAGTTTATTTCCACAGGTTAGCAGAGATTCAAACTCTTTAGTCTGTCAGATGGTGTTTACTGTGTTTTGTGTCTCTGGATCACATAAGTTTGAAACCTGTGGATCTACAATCAGTTTGGAAACTTGTGTACAGAGATCTGAGCTTTTTGACATTTGTGGACATGTTGGTGATTGGTTTCTGCTTAGAGCACAAAGCTTTAAGTCATGTATTGTGTGTGTTAGAGATTTGAAATTGATCTGAGCTGTGCTTGGAATCTTTTTGAGAGTTGTGAGATTGTTTCAACATATTGTATTGAGCTACAGTACTTTTGCCTTGAGATCTAGCAACATATGTTACTATCTCTTGTTTTGAGTGAAAAGCTTTGAGACTTAGAGAGATCTCAGACTGTTGTACACATGCTATTGCTATTTGCATGCAGTGGATTCATTAGAGAAGACAATTATATTTGCTGTTACTACTTTTATTGCTTTATAATTCCCCCATAAACTAAGAGTATCATGTGTGTATTGATGTGGGTGTGATCAGTGGATAGCACTCTGCTGTATTCATTTTCACCTTGTGCACACACAAGACCTCTTCAACAGATCTGCTCAAAAGTCTATGAATCTAGGGTCAAGACAATCTGATGGTGGGAACAGGACTATGCTAATTGGTGAAGAGGATCTATGAGCATGCAAGATGAAAATAGATACAGCAGAGTGCTATCCACTGATCACACCCACATCAATACACACATGATACTCTTAGTTTATGGGGGAATTATAAAGCAATAAAAGTAGTAACAGCAAATATAATTGTCTTCTCTAATGAATCCACTGCATGCAAATAGCAATAGCATGTGTACAACAGTCTGAGATCTCTCTAAGTCTCAAAGCTTTTCACTCAAAACAAGAGATAGTAACATATGTTGCTAGATCTCAAGGCAAAAGTACTGTAGCTCAATACAATATGTTGAAACAATCTCACAACTCTCAAAAAGATTCCAAGCACAGCTCAGATCAATTTCAAATCTCTAACACACACAATACATGACTTAAAGCTTTGTGCTCTAAGCAGAAACCAATCACCAACATGTCCACAAATGTCAAAAAGCTCAGATCTCTGTACACAAGTTTCCAAACTGATTGTAGATCCACAGGTTTCAAACTTATGTGATCCAGAGACACAAAACACAGTAAACACCATCTGACAGACTAAAGAGTTTGAATCTCTGCTAACCTGTGGAAATAAACTGAAAAACTCCATCTGACAGATCCAAAGAGCTTGAACCTCTGCTGATCTGCAGAAATGCCCAAAAGCACACACTAATCAAGCCAAAGGGTCTGAACCTTTGCCACCTATAGTGCCACACATTGCAAATGCCTTAAAAATTCAAGATAGTGCCCTTCAGACACCACTCTCTTATTCTCAGGCTAAAGCACAATCCAAAACCTCTTATCAAATCAAATTCAAGTCTCTTGCAAGCTTCTGTGTCTTATGCAATTCTCAAATCTCTCTCAATGATATCAATAATAGGTCTATTCTCTCATCTGAAGTTACAAACACAAATCCAGAGCTGGAGTACAAGATCTTCATGCTCAATACACTGCAACTGTAGGGGGTCAGAAACTTGTCTACTACTCTTACAATGTGATACTTAAATACTCTACTATGGTACTTACTAATATAATCCTACTATAGTATCTTCAAAGCATGAGACTCCATGCTGAATTCTATGGGTATTATTTATGTGCATATTGCAGTTATAATGTTTATTCTATTCTGGACCAGGACTGCCTTTTGTTTCTATGCAACCTGACACTGGTTATCTTTATTAGTGGCCTGGCCACTTGTCTCTTTGCTTTCTTATCTCTCCAGAGCAATTAATCCATGCACAGGAGTCATTCTAGACTCCTGAGATCATTTCTAGTCATTTCTTTCACCAAATCTTCTCATTTCTTGGCCAATCTCTTCAATATTTGGGTTTATCTCATTGTGTACCAATGCTCTGTTCTAGAACATGTCCCTTAGCAAATTAATACCTATGCATCATTGATCAATGTGATGCAAAGTTGTGTGCAAAGCCCTGATCATATTTTGATCATGTGCTCTCTATTTTTAGTGGGTCTTTCTGCACTTGTATTAGTGCAATTAGTGTCAAGTGCTGGGACCTCATGCACAGTATGACCCCCTCTAGTATCATCCTACTGCTAGGCCATGCTCTCCACCCATCATCACTCAAGCCAGCTGCTATACAAGTCCCATTTCACTGCACTCTAGCCATGTTCTTTATTGTGTGCATAGTAGACTGTGATACAGTCAATGTATTGTCATAATTCACAAAATTACATGCCTGGACATGCAGCAGGCATGTCAACATGATCTATTTAGGGCAGGCTCAAATGTTTATAACATTTATCTGATTTGTCCTATATTTGTTGTCCCAACAAGCACACCCAAGTTGGATTATCTGGTGAAGAGGATTCCAATTTGTTAAAAAATAGGAGAAAATATGCTGATGATGCAGTGCATCTCTTAATACCTCTGGCATGTATATAGTTCTCCCTCCATCTCATGAATAATTCTTGATCCCTGTCTCTGGACTAGGCATGACCGACCATCCAATAGGCATTTGGAAACGGCATGGCACGTAGCGCTATCGAAGTTATGACTCGTGTCGTGGAATGAAGCTCAAGATGCTAGCTAGTCGATTGGAAAACGTAACACGATTAGTGGATATTGTCCGACTAACTACTGCGATAGAAGCAGCTCTGATAGAAGACGTACTGAAGGATTTCAGTCCGCTACGACTTCCGAAAGACCAGCTTGGTTCCTTCGCTCTGACTAGAAGTGTTATCCGTATCGATTACATCTCGAAGTGACGCGATCGAAGTACGCCGTGGCATTGAACCTGGTCCAATGACATAGGAAGCAGATAGTACCGAGAAATTGAAGGCATATGACCCAGTTATCGAATCCCTCGATCCCATAGTCAATTTTATGTACCAATCGTACATGAGATCGTGACCCATGTCCCAGGTCACTGGTTAGCGATTCTACCGGAGATTTCTTCAGGTGTAGGACCCTTATATATTAAGGAAGCCAATGGGATCTTAGGCGCCGTTACCTACATAATTGTCTGGATGGTACCTGCTCGGACTCAAAAGGTGCGTCAACAAAGTACACTCATCAGAAGGTTGCGTGAGTATCAGGGTTCCTGCTATTGGTGAAGTAGACTAGAACCACCGCACCTTTAAATAAAAAGTGTATAAATATATTTAATCTTCCAATAGCTCAGCTATGTACACCTTTCGAAGCGTTGTCGGTATCGATTATATTTTGAGATGACTATCGAAGTCCAACGTAACTGATATTCCGACAACGAGTCGTAGTCTTTCTGCAGCGGTCGTAGTCTTTCTGCCGCTGCAGAAATACTAGCTCTTGAGTCCAGCCAAGATCTACGAGTCTGTTGTGGACACTTGTTGTCCAATAATTAGCATCGAGGAGGGGGCTTAAAGACACAGAACTCACGTCTGGCCTATCATTTGGTTCTGCTGGTCAATGGTGTAACATTTAGTTCAAACAAAACATTCTCTGCACGCTAGTTTATAACACGATGAACACAACGTTCGCTATCCTTGAACAAATTGGAATACACCTTACTTGTTCTATGTCTCTTGCCATCGCCGACTGTCGCGATTTGAATAATTCTTTCTCTTGCGGATGGTCGATAAACTTGAACTGATTAGCAAGGTCATGAAAATCCTGCTGAAGAATATGTTTGCATCTGATGGCTCTAGTGCAAGACAGCCTAAGTTTCGTGGGGACTATCGGGAGCTTACTTTTGTCGATCTGCACCGGAAGCATACCGGCCAGCATGACGCTCACCAGCATATTCTTCCATTTGTGTGAAGGTGCATCTACATCCATGATTCAACGCGAGATAGTTATGACACTGCGTGGTGGTCAGAAGTTGAGCATCACTACGACCCATTTACGTACTGTTTGTGCGAACATCTGTTACACAAACGCTTTCGAAAGCACCACTCGACAATATAGACTACTCGTGAAAAAAACTGACAGTGAATTAAGCGTTCGAATCATGGAGCAAACGGGGAAGATATACGTGGCATTGTGGATTAAAACCTAGGTTCACCCAAGCCGGTTCGGTCATGCCAGGAAACGGATCCGGCAAATCGAGAACATTGGCGAGGGATGCTCTGCAACAAGAGAGCGATGAAGGGTGCATAAGGAATCTTCTGAAATTCCGGGTTAATCGCGCCAGGCGGAGAATGTCATGGGGAAGAAAATGTCCGAATATCTGGAGAACAGGTTAGCATAAGGGTCCGAATCGAAAAAAGCTCAGTGGCACACCTCCAGTAATTATCTAGTGACATATCCAATCAAGACTTTTAGTGCTCCTTTTTTCCCTCCTCAAACGACCTTCTGGGCGAGCACCGTGGCCGCCGCCCTGGTCTCGCGTCGTTTATACGGGGCAGAACGCGTCGACATCGTAATTAATTCTTACAAGATGCATGTAATCTTTACGAATGGCTTGTGTAGGATGCCAACGTACCACAAGTGAAGACGCACCTCGCGCGTTGAACGTGATGGTAGAGAATAATTTCCGATTACGGCAGGACCCGACACGAAAGCCGACGGACGGCCGAGTAGTAAGTACCGTAAATCACAATAAAACAAAAATAAATCATTCATTTTTCAATATTTGCTCTAAATTGCACCTGGAAGGCCCATGCATGCTGTATATCCTCTAAGTCTGCCTTAAATAAATCTACCTGTAGCTTTATTAACGAAAGACCAAAGGAACTGGAAGGGTTCATGAGATATATTTCGTCCTCAGAAACAGTTAGCAGTCATGATTGCCAACTAGCTCGCATTTGGTAGGAGTCACGAAGAGATGGCAGTGACACAAAAGATGTTTGGAGTAGCTATAAACCGTGCCGATGTTGATCCCGTCGAGACGACGTGTAGATGTCTGGTAAACCAGTAATTCTGCAGAGTTGTGTCAACGACTGAGAACAAGGGATGCAAAAGACTCACTGTGGCAAATACACATTTCCCGGCATATTTCAGCCGTTCTCCCGTGCGCAGAAGGCTCCTTTGCGTTGGAGCGATGATTTCTCCTTCCGCCGTCGACAGAAGGTTAAGCTAAGTCCACGAAATCTCGTCTCAAGAAATCATTGACAAGTTGTCGTTCTTTGACGCTATCAACCAGAATCTGAACGATATACGTGGCATTCTTGTACGAGCTAGGGTTGGCAGCAAGATTAAGACCGTAACTTGAGGATCCACCCTCCTTGCTGGCCTCCCAATTTTTGGTCTGAACGGCACCAATTGTAGTCATGTCAAAATCAGACATGGTACCAGAGCCTGACAACCCGGGTTCTCAACACCAAGAATAGACATACTTAATACATATACTTACCGTTATTGATTGCGACCTGCCGACCTTATGCGAACGCGTTTTTATAAAATTCGGCAATGAATTCAAGGGACCCGTTTAGACCTCTGATGTCACACCACTACACCATACAGTCATTTAGGTAGTGAATAATAGGTACCCCGGTACACATATGATCTCTCCTTCTTGGCGGTGTCAAGAAGTTCGGCAATGAGATATGGTACTGACTGTGACCAGAACAAAGTATTTAGGGTAAAGCCACGAGGTACCGCTATATGACGGTATAATACTTACGGTCCCATTGGATTATTCCCTCTGGGATCAGTCTGGAGGAACCAGCTGGTTTATCTTCCAGCGATGGTAAGGGTTGTAGAGGAACTTGGCTTACCCGTATGATTCTGCATAATTAGATAGTAATTAGATAGAGTAGCCTAACGTTTCAAATTAACATAAACACCGCCACTCCTTGAATGTACTCCTACCAAAGCAGGAGCACTGTGGATATTACAGTGAATGCTACCCACTATTCATTAGCCAATATTTTGAAATGAATGTCGCAGACTCACAAGATAGCATACTTAGCTCAGTTCCACTGCTTTAGGTTCAGTGTCATGTAGCCCTAGATACTCCTCGCCCACGTCGGGGTTTCATGCGTGAACATGTGTATCTGCAGTCCAGTGTTCGACCAACGGTATTGCCGGCCAGCCCGGAGATATACCAATCATACGAGCATGGGAGTCTCTAATGTTAATGTTTCGCGGATCCACCGTCCTGTGCACCCAATATAAAGACGTTCACAGAAACGATCCCTGGGGACCAGTCGATGGACGACACCAGAATAGAGCGTTTTGAGATCAGAACCGCTAACATATATGTAGTGCCTGGCTTTGAGGGATGTCCCTGTGGTCCGCAGAAAAAAAAAGTTGCTCGTCGGATAGATAATGTCAGTTTTACATCCACCACATCAGGAGAAGGAACTACTGATGGAGAGATGGACATAGCGAGCAGATGCAATCTGTATGCTGTGTTAATCGATGGCAGGGTAATACTGATGAGCGTGCTCCGATGAGACCGGGCTTGACCTTTGAAAAAGTGGCTTGAATTTCGGTTCTTTTCTATACCTTTTTGGAAATAATATGGCCTGCCAAAACTGTTTGAGCTCTGGGCCATCGCCAACAATATCGAGCATAGACTGAAGGTTTCAAAAGATACAGCGCGTAAGAATGCATAACATCCGTGCTGTACTTATTGAGTTGTCTGTAAATGTAAGAAAGAAGTTGCGCCCTTGCCCACGAATTCGAGTTCCAGGGAAATATCGCGGGATTGATCAAGGAACTAAGATGATGAGTATTCACCACCCGCGTAAACAAAATGCAGTTCTTATGTGAAAGTCGGTTCTGAAAGATTGATCACTTGATTGTCCGTGATGAGACTGTCATTACTTGAGCCCCAGGAGCCTGGCAGATCATACGAGAAGAGAATGAGTCTCTAGACGTCAGTCGGGGCTCAAAGACCTACAATTTCGCCGTACTGGCCTGGGGGAGGGAGGGGGATTGGTTATCAAAACACGAGCCCCTGCCATCAAACACCGCCAAGGTATCAGAAGAAACGATTTTATTGTTGAACAGCAAACGAAGCTCAACGGGTAGCTCGGAAGAGTCAAAACTTTAGAAAACACAGTACCGAAGAGAAGTAACATCGCGAAGAAGACATAGCATGATGCCAAGCTGGGATAATAGATCCGTTTATAAGGGACAACGCCAGGGAACCTAGCACATTATTCACATCCTTGTGTTTTGAGACGTTCAGGTGAGCTATTGATCATCTTCCTTAGATTCGAAGTCGATGTGACACGGTTCCGTTATGGCTTGGAAGTTGGTGTTGATCCAAGCTAAGTAGAAGGAGAATGGGTATTCATCGTTCCTAGCTGCGAGCCTCAGCTTTTGGATCACTTGCAGCTCCTTGAAGTTCAAATAGCCCATCCAGATATTTTGGGGCGGATAAGAGGAAGCATAAGGAATCGAATCGTCGTTTTCTTGCTGGCATCGTGGGAAAACATTATTCCCCGTGCCCTTCCTTGTTGAGACGCGTTCACGGCCCGAACGTTTGCATCTCTTTCTTTCGACCAGCCTCCAGGACATTGGCAACGAGCAATACGATAACCAAGACCGACGCTAATGCTGTACTTAACCTTAGGCTCCGCTGCGTTTGATGCAACTTTGATTATGTCTCAGCCACGCCCGTATTGCCACACGGACATCGCCTTTCCTAGGTATTGCATTTGGGCAGCATTTGGGTATGAAGACTCCGAAGCACAAAGATGCAAGCGATGTTCTACAAATGTGGAAAACAGATTGGTCCCAAAGATTGAACTGAATGGAAACCAGTGATCATAGAGAGGAACTGAAACATGGGAACGAGGTTAAATGATAAACACCGGGGTTAACCGTAGTCTTGGGACGAACCTGTGCCGTATACAAAACGTATAGTCCAGTGATGAATGCTCCTTTCTTTGCTTTCAAGCTACAGTTGCACTCCATGTGCGTCGTTTCTATCGCATCGTTGGAACATTAATACTTACAGACTAGTTCTTTAAATTCAGAGATTATCAATGCCAACCGTGCGCGTTAGCCCCCGGGAAACTGCAAAATTGGATCTGTCGCTTCCACATGCGACGGGGGTTGCCCTCGTGTGCGGCATACTCGGAGGGGCTGCTGGCCTCTTCTTCCTTGCCTTGACTATTTGCTGTATCATGAAGCGTCGGCGAACACAGAAGCATCGGTACAAACATAAACCGCGTTCCGTTGTACCCTTCCCTTATCAAACTACACCATTCGATATCCCGGAAGCGAATGGCCTCGCGCCCCTTCTTCGCACCGAATCTCATCCTTACTCGCATGACTCTCTTAACTCGATTGTCCACGACTACAGTCGCCCGCCCGTTACACAACAAGCGTGGGACTCACGTCAGTACACCTACATAACTCCAGAAGACCACCTTCCCAAAGTCCCGCCACCCGTACCCTATTCCACTCAGCCTCTGTTCAAGTCCGACCCATTCCTTCCATCTCTCCATACCGCGTCCGACAGCGACTGCTCGCTGCTAGGGCTGCTTCCATCGCCTGGTTATCACCACGACCCCGTCAAGTCGCTACAGTTAAGCCCGAAGCATCTTCCGCGACTCGTGATCCCCAATGCAGCATCCCGGCCGAGATCTTCTCGTGCCATCGAGAATTCAAAATATGATCAAAGGATTCCTTCGGAGCTATCATCTGGGTCCGAATATTCTCAGCCGTCCGCTTCCTCGTCATTTATACAACAATCCTTTCACAGCCAAGACCTTGCTCCCCCGCCTGCCCCACCACGGCCCGACTATATCGTCATGCAAGGGCGGTTTCAAGATGAGCCGGTTGGCCTGGGGAGGACAAACACGATTGAAATAGCTAGCCTGCTGAAGGATTGCACCAAGGGCGATGGAAATCTACTGCGTGCTACGAGTAACATTTCACACATTGAGCGCTGGGATTCCCCAGCTGTTCTCCCTTCACCGGTTGACTGAACATCGAAATCCCTGTCTGTGTCTAAATATTAATTCAGAAGCTTCGTATATCCTGCAGTTCGCAACTCAGAGGATCCTTCCAAGTCAATATTACACACTTGTCTCTGTTGTCCGCATATTGGGTAGTCATCATATTCAGGAACATGTCGTTATCGCTATCGCTCTATCATTATTTGTTACACCCTCGGATAAAAAGATTCTCCAATCACAGATCAATAAGAAGACGGATGCTTCAAGAGCGTCTAGAAAGACTTCTGATCAGCCAGCACCATAGTCATAGGGCGCGAGCCACTTACACCACCATCGATCAATACAGTTTCTCCAGTGACATACCAATTCGCCAGCAAGAAGAGCGCGAGTGATCCAACGTCGCGCGGTTTACCCCATCCTTGTTCGACGGGAACCTCAAAGTTTATTTTAGCATCCGGCGGAACAACCGCGACTCCGGACTCGTCAATTGGAGCTCCGGGAAGAGACATCTAAAGACAATCAGTGGAAGTCCAGCATTCATCGTGAAGTAATAAATCCGTACCGCACTAGGGAAAAGGCCTGGGGAACAGATTTAATATTACAGAACGGGCGATGGGACACAGAGAAACTTGCCTGGTGCAATTCCATTGACTCTGATACCCAGCGGCAGCAGTTCATGAGCGAGAGAGGAAGTAGCGTGCCCAATGGCACTTTTTGAGAACATATATGGATATGAGAGTCCAGCGGTTGACGAGTCCTGTGTATCAAACGATGAGGATGGAATCGGTAGCTGAAACAAAGGAACAACCTTCGTCCATCCATTCATACTACTAGTCATGATGATTTGCGGTCCGAACTTCTTGGTTGCCGGATCATCCGAGAATTTCCATTTTTCAAGCAACGGCAAGAAGGCGAACGTCAGCCAGTATGGTCCGACAGCGTTCGTATTGAGGGTATCATTGAAAGATTCTTGAGTGATATCATCGAAGAAACTCGAGACATACGCAGATGCCGTGGAAGCTGTTGGACGCTTAAAGCTGCCTTTAAGGATGCCAGCATTGTTGAAGAGGGCTGTAACATGGCGTTCTCGCTTCCCAACTTCACTAGCCAGACGTTTGGCTTCTGACTAAGTCAGAGTCAGCAAACGTTTCAATCAAAACTTGCTTGACACACACACATACCTTTAAACGGATGTCTCCCTCAATTCCATACATTGTGCCGGCACCGGGGATGTTAGCAGCAGCGGCATTGAACTTGTCGCAAGTTCTACAAACATTACTTCGGTGCTGAACCATCTGCACAGAGATGACTTACTGGTTGAGATCGGCCTGTGATGGTCCGACGATATACACAGTGGCACCGTTCGCGATCAACGTTGAGCTAATCATTAGCCCAATTCCCTGCAGCACGACAAAGCATGAGCGGATATACTCCAAGATTAACAGAACGACCCACGGAGCCTCCACCAGTGATGACTACGACTGTACTGCGAAGGTCGAAGAGGTTGACTGCACGAAGATTATCTAGAGAGAGAGTCGACATGGTGGGCAGTGGGAACAGAACACAGTAAGGAATCAATCTTTTATATCCACCGTGGGTGTTGACGTCATTTGGCGGCTAGGCTTGCGGGTCGTCAGCCGGTATTGAGAAGCCTTATCAAATGGATGGTCCCGAAGAACCTTCGAACTGCCTGTGGGTCAGATGTAAGGTGTTACCGAAAGTTCTCGTATCATGGGCGCAAAATTGGAACGAAGAGATCCTAGAATATCACCGATAAGAATCCCCACCTCGTCTGAATCACCCGTACAGTGAACGAGCTCAACGTGGACAACGTTGTGGATTAAGGGCAAGGAGTAGAGATAGACGTGACATTGGGGACAGTGCAGCAACGCGTAAGCCACGAATGAGTAGGCCCGCAGAGTAGGGATAGTTTCGTGCCAGGTAACCAAGAATGTATCTGATGGGCTCTTGGGAGAGGTTGCCGCGTCGTATTATCCATTATCGCGTTGTTCTAGCCAAATTTTAAGGATTTTTCTTGGAATGCTAGCATACATTACGCACCAATTACCCTTCAATGACAATCAAAGGTATCAACACCGTTTGCAATGAGAAAGTGAGGATACCAATGAGGAGATGATGGTTAGAGTGAAAACTTCCTTGCCAACAATCGTTCGTTCTTTGATCCCTCACCATGACCGGCATCTGCAACAATATTGACACTCACTTCTGTAGCCGCCACTATAACTGTCGAAACGGCTGGAACAGGCAAGAACCGCGAATTTTCTTTTATACTGTACTCGCCCACGTATTGGCTGTAAAAGAGAAGCGAAACATCATCGCGGCTTGGAGAGTTATCTCTCCATGTTCACCACATAATTATCGACAGATTTCTTGCCAGAAAGGCGGGACATCCCTCTGGACCATCGTTACTGCCAGTAAGAGACCGAGGAGCAACGAAGAACAAGAGACGTGACTTTTCAATGCACGACCTCTCATTGCTCTCGTTCTGGCAGACTCACTACAATGAGATAATGTGAACAGGGCGTGATATTGTAGATGAGATATACACTCGATGAGTCCTTTGCCTAACACCTTTACATATCTGGCTTATTCATGGAGTCCCGCAGACCTTTTCGTGAACGAACACCTTATTCTGACAAAGAACATGCTTGCTGTAGTAATACACACACGAATAGGCATTTACAAGATAACTCAGTCGAAAATGCTTTGTATACAGTAGTGCTCTGAAAAATAAAACGTGAGAATATGCATCGAAGCAGTCGGAATAACAACTGACGTTTAACGACCTCAACCTCCAAAACACCTCTACCTTTCAGCAAATGCATGCTCTCCTCAACTTGACGCTTCCATTGATCCCAGTCGTCCGTTGGGCGCTCAGAGCCATCACATCCGTGACTGTCGCATCGGCCAGGATGGATACGATTATGCAACCTGACATGAACACTTTGCAGTGCAGGCAACGCCAGTTCATCGAGGTGAGCATCAAACTCAGCCCAGGCATAAACAGAGTGGCGGGAGTTGTGGTCCCACTGGTTAAACACGCACTCTACTGTCAACGCCCGCAATGTAGGACTAAGGCACGTTCCAAGTATGAGAGGGTCCAGGGGAGAGGCCAAGATAACGTAATAAGAGGAAAGGCTGCTGTGTCGGCTCAGATCTAAACTGGCTTGATCTTTGAAAGGAAGTTAGTGAAATGATGAAATGAGGACAGCGACTTACCCGCCCAGGGGTCAACTTCCAGAGTGAATGACTCGAGCGTTTCTTGCATCGCATCAAGCAGTTTCTGAATGATCGGTGATGCGCTCTTCGAATCATAGTATAGTTGGAGATGTCGAATATCGCTGATGTCGTACAGAGACTGGTCAAAGAATAGCCATGAAATATTTTCGCATGTTGCGTCCCCGGCCATATACAAAGATTCCAATGCTGGTAGACCATGCGGTGGAGGGCGAATCGGCGGGGAAACGGTATAACCCCAATCTGCTCCGTCATCACAGATAAGCGACAGATGCTTTAGTGCCGGGTTTGCTGCAGCAATGAGTAGGTCTGCGAAATTTCCATGTGTTTCAAACGCGAAGCCATTTAAGATGAGCGTCTTGAGTGGCACAGAGCGGAGAGCTGCGAGGAAGAGTCTGTATGTTGCGACTGGAAAGTGGTCCGAGACTTCATGGATTCCGCGACAGATGAATTCGATATGGAATAGATTGTGGAGGGAAGGAATGATAGAAAGGAGAGAGGTCTCCATGAATACATTCGTCAATAGCACTGTTCTTGAATGAATTCCGAGTCTTGTGACCAGAGGGGCGACATGAGGTGAATTTTCGAGTAATGCGATAAAGTTCTGGCGGTGGTACAGTTGCCCTCCATATTGTTCTCGAAACAAGTCCAATTCAGAGATGTGCACGATAAACACATTTGAATAAATATGATAGCGACTGCGGTCCAAGAAAGCTCGGGATGCAAGTTCGCAAGTTCGCAAGGCGGGGATGTCATCGTGCAGAAAGTCAAGAATGTAATCAAAGAGCTCTTGTCGCATGCAAAGGGCCACGTCGCTGGGCATATTTTTCTTGAATGGCGTCGCCCTCGGTGGCATGTACCTTTGGCACGGATGAGTGCCTCTCCTGAGAGAAAGAAATACAGTGACGCACGAAATTACTAGAAACTGAAGCCGTACAGATATCCCAAGGAAGGTAAGATGTTGGGTCGGTTGGAGAGAACGAAGAGATATGGTGGTCCGGAAGCAAAATTGAGCGCGTCGTTTCCTCGTGATCGCCACTTAGAGTGTGATGATATTTGCAATTCCTTTACTAGCCACATGAGGCATGTCCCCTATTCTGGTCGTTATAGGGGAAAGCATAGTCCAGAGTCGTTCCTGCGACGCACTGCAATGCTGCAAATCAGGCCTGCTATATGTTGAGAAGGTCGAGACAGATACCGGAATAAAAGAGCGTAGGCTCTGAGTGAGTCCCAGTACACTTTTCCGTCGACCTTTGTCTCTTATATATACGCTGTAGAGACAGATCCAGTTCATCATTGTGAAGCACAACATAATGGACAGCGTCTTGGTCCGGCCTTACACATTGCGAGCGTCCGGGACCGATAGAGACCACTGCGAGGACCGCAAACCGACCATGTACAGCACCAACATACCGCGTACGTCTATGTGCAGCCAGATTCTCACAAATGATTTATTTCTGGCAAATTTTTTCAGAAGAAGCACGAGCTATTAAATACGACATGCTATACCGACATGATTTTCTACCTGCACTACAGTCTTCATGCAGGATGGTTTGGAGAATCATCTAGCGTTTTCCCGCTGCGACTGGAAAGAGGCCGAGACTGAACCCATTGCAGAGGAAACGAATGACACCAACACCCTGGTGGCAGACCATTTGATGGTGAACACCTAGAAGAACCCTGCTCCCATGTCAGCGTCCAGTACATTTTTTGCAGGAGCAGGACTAGGGGCAGGAACTTTTCTTCTGCGGGGAAGCGAGCCAGCTCTGTGTGCACTCCAAGACTTCACCGATGTGGCATAACTGGGGGACAAGGCCTTATTTATCCGCATTCTACTTATAGCATCCGTGTTTCTGCTTGCGTTTCAGCTACGAAAGGCTTTCATCATTAGAGTAAAGGGTGAGTGATTATGCAGAGCCGTCTTCATTTGTGGCTTACGTCTTTATCGTCGTAGCTAGAGAATCCTACATTCGGGTCTAATAGTATTCTCACGTCTTGAAAAGACGCTTTCAGATTGGTTTTCCACGGGAAGGAAATCATCCAAGAGGGTCACAGACAGGTACCCATGCTGTCGTCTAAAAACCCACCGTCGGGCTGATCAGCTTGTGCGTAGTACTACGGATCAGCATTCAAGGTCCCTTACTCGACAAGAGGGTGATCGTCATCAGTGAGAATGACATTCGAGAGTCTTCGCTTGAGCATCTGTCTTTCATGGATGCGAGTTCAGATATGAGCGCTAGGTTCTCTCAGATTATACTTGACATAATTCTTATCATACTGTCTGCAGCTTCTGCAGATCGAGCACACAATGGGCCGCAGCATCGTCGACGACCCTTACCATACAGAGGTCTACGAAGTCTTTTGACGCGTAACATCGGTGCATCTTTTGTAGATGTCCCAGATGAGGTCAGAGCGTCCTTGAGTGACAATATACTGTTGACCGAAGGTGCCAGATTTCATGGTCTTCACCATCTCTCGCTTTTTTTCAATTTACTATAGACTGGATCAAGGTTCCCGCATTCAAGACTGTTCTGCAAATCGTATCGGAGTCAGTTAACCGGATGTTCACTGATCTTCCTTTCTGTCAGTATTAAGTCTCTTACCAATAACTGACATTTGGCTAATTTAATTGGCGTCAAGGTCGTAACCAAGATTATCTCAAAATCAATGTCAATTTCATGACCAGTGTTGTCGCTTGTGCCAAAGTTAACAACCTCTTTCCTCCCTTCTTGAAACCGTAAGTCATCTGAGCTTAGGATAACTGACCAAGATCTCATATTGTGATTAGAATCATTGGATCCATCCTCACACCCCGGTGGCGTGCTATATCCAAGATGGAGAAATCTCTTGGTCAGATCATACGGGATTGGCTGTATGCAGAGAACCTCAATGACAAAGATTGGCGGGGAAAGCCGGTAAGGAATTCACAAGTCGTCGTCGATTATGTCTTATACTGCCGCCATAGAATGCTTGGTTCCTCAATGAAACAACAGGTGTTGGAGAAAGGCGCACGGTACTAGATCTAGTACCCAGATGCTTGTTTTGAATATGGCAGCTATACATGCTACGTCCATGGTACGTCTGATGTAGTGCATATGGATCCGGATCCATATGTTGGCTGTTGTCGTAGGCTTTTACTGCGGCTCTGTACGCATTAGAAAGGAACAAACTGTCAGTGCACAACTTCTACACCATCTCAGACACGGTATGCATCCCACATGTTCTGATTAGTGGCGCAACGTTGGGAGAATGTTTCAGCAATGCGTAAAGATCTGCGCATTGATACAATTTCCGGGCATGTCGTTCACGAAACGAGCCAAGTTCAACATCGTACACGATTAAAACGCTTAAATAGATGCGATGACGGCTCCCGGGCAAGAAACAAAGGGAAACAAGGGGTGTCGTCGTGCGGGAAGTCGAGGATATAATTGACCAGTTCCTGAAGCATAACGAGACACGAATCGCTCGGTCTAGGGACCTTGTACGGCATTGTCATTAGTAGGGCGCTCTCTGTCTGCCTACAGCCTGGGTCAGCGATATTCCTTTTAGCGAGGAAATACGACAACGCATGAAATACTGGCACTATCCTGACATCTGTTCCTCTAGAGAACAGCAACGATGTCAGAGACGGGGCGAGATAGTTATGAGTGAAATAATGTACACAATAAACGGGAATGGGATGGTGTGTTGATACTGGTATCGGTACAAGATGGTGGTAAGGTTGATGGTCGCCGGTCTGCCGAGGTTCGTCTTCTGCCTCCCGGAAATTGTACTCATTTTAAGGTGCAACTCAGGTACTGAGATGTAGCAGCAGCGAGATGGCTTTCCTCTCCGCTGAAAAGCAATTACCATCCTTCATACCCGTCAAAGTTGGTCTAGCGCTGAGTCTAACATCTGCCGCAGAGCTGTGGTAAACAAATTACTTAACATGTTGTCGTGCGTGGCAGAATAGGCGTCATTGAATGCCACGCACGCTTTCTGTGTTGCACGCTACTATTTGCTCCATATTTAGCGACAACTTCGGCCAACATCATAAAATACAAGAATACAAATACTACGAAATTGCAAGCGTGTCCTTCCTGGCGCGCTTTATACAAGACCATGGAAGCACTCGAGCCTGCGACATGAAATATACGCATGATCAACCCTTTTAATCGTATATAACTTGAGCAGGACCCCTGTAAGAAATCATCAGTTATCCTGACGAATCAATCAATAGAAGCACAGCGATACCTCTTCTCTTGGCCCTAAAACAAGGGAAATAAAGATCAATAGCGCGCGTGGAGCCGGAGCCCATGTAACTCACATCTTCCATCCACGCAAGTTGTGCTTTCAGCTCCGTCATCCCGAACAACATCACGACATCATAACTCAATTGGTAGTAGTAGGTCCCGTCCGAACAGCGTCGAGGTTTCAGTGACTTTGCCACGACGGAAGTATCAGCTGTAACACGGCAATATTGTGAATAATCGTCTATACCAGCAATTAAAACGGTGTTGCAAGATTCGGAGACAACGAACCTTTATCAACATCCATCCATTTCGGATGCCCCCTTTTCCCGGTATAACGCCAGATTGATGTTGTGATGGCGCCCAAGTCCGACAACGATCGTGCAAGCCTGCAATATGTCTCACGGAATTCGGTCTCTTCAGAGACCAGGACGTCCTGAGGGATATGCAATGTCAGCGGCCAGCTCGTAGACAAATAGAGGCATTACCTTAGCGAGGATGACACTATATTGCCCTCCCAAAGAGAGCGTTCCGGAAGAGTCTACAAACGTCTCGGAGCGACGAAGAACATGTTCTTCGTCTAGACAATCATAGTCAGTATACATTCGTACACCGTAATTGTACTTGGACATGCGCGCGGTAACAGCATGGTCGAGGTGGAATGACACGGCACCATCAGCAACGGCTTTGTTCCTGAGAACGAATTCCATAAGGGCAATCAGTCAGAGCTCATGAAAGAAAAATACTGACACATGGCTGTCAGGTCGAGCGAGGGTCAGGCCAAGCAGATTTGTGTGTTCTTGTATTTTGAGGAAGAGCCAATCACTTGCAGCAAAGCCGCCGACGAGAAAAACGGTCTTCAAATGACGTGATGAGTACCCGATATGAACCTTTTTACAGCATTACACTCACCGAAACAGTCTTCTTCGATGCGGCTCGTTGAGCATCTATAGCTTTAGTAATAGAAGTTATCGATGGTTCAAAGAAGGTCGCAACGTCCGTCCTGTGGAATATCAGGCGTGTCTCTTTTAGCATATTCGTAATTCCCTCACCCTTTTAGCTTGAGCTGACCCGACCGAATGTCGCATGCAGAGTCCCTATCACGGAGGCCCCCAAACTTGACAAACGACGGCTCTGCGGAGTCCCTGAAACGAAGCTTCGTAGACTTGTCGAAGCATTCCGCGATATGACCGATATCGTCGTGAAATTTAGAGCCTTTCAGCTTTCCTATAAATTCATGAATAAAAAGAGGGCCGAGATACGCCAAACGTTACCGTCAATGAAAGTACGAGCGCGCTGCGTGACAAAAATTGATCCAGAAAAGTCACCTGTGCATGACGGTAAGCGTTGTATGGGAAAAGAAAGTCAAGTATCTTACAAAACGGGGTGGCAATCTCTTGGAACGAATATTTCCCAGCGCCTCTAGTTGAAATACTAGTGTAGCTGCTTATATCGACAGTGCCACCTCCGGCGTCGACGATAATTATTCCTTCTCCCTCCTTTAGGCACCATGTGAGGCCCACTGCATTGGCAAGGAGAACGTGGCGCTAACCTTTACAAGCGACGAAAGACCTCGCTGGATACAGAAATGCAAACTAGCTTCTCCTTCGGTAACAAAGTGTACACGCGTGTTCTTGTCGTCATCGCTGATGAGACCACCCTGTACGACGGCCTTGCGCATTTGATCCTGCTGTCCTCCCTCCCATCCGTTCGGATGGCTCAAGATGAACTCAATCGAATCCTCAATCGAGGACCAAAACGTCACACCGCTGGGATGAGTTTCTTGTATGAAGGTCTTGGCGCACTGGAAGAGGTACGCATAGAAATCAGCAAAGAGCATAAGGACATCCTTGCCGGGAGGGAGCGGCGAAATGGCTTGGTTGATGTTATCTGACTTTGCGTCCTTGCCAGGAGGACGGAGGTGTAGTTTGAACCTGAGTAACAGGACGTTCATTACGATGACAACATATTAATGGAAGGAGAGCCTACTTTTCGCATCGGACCCATCCCTCCTCTTCGATCTTATCATTGATGTTTTCGCTCATCGCTTCGGCGCCGGCCGCCCTCACTTTGCCATTCTGATCGTAGCAGATAACAGTCGGGATTTTCGCATTGCCACCAGTACCTTCCAGGGAAGGATACCTGCACAGTATTAGATTTCTGGTAGTCCAAGATTCCAAAGATTGTACCTGGTCACGGGCTGTATTGTTGGAGGGATGTCCGGGTCGAGTACACTAGGAAACAAACCCTCAGAGAAGTTTTGGACGAGCGCGCAACAAGTTTTACCTGTATGAGATCCCGCTGTAAGTCGTTCCGAGGTCGAAAGCCAAGAGCAGCTTCCTGGAATTACCGACGTAGGCTGACCGTATGTTCATGGCGGCGTCAAGGTGGGGTCGTGGTTACGGCAGAAAGGCCCATACGACGGAATATAAGCACACATTCGTACTCTTATCGTTCACACGTCTGGTGATAAGGTAATAGCAATGTGCACTCCCGGAGAAGAACATGTGGATTACATGCTCCCAATGTGACTTGCTGACCTCTGCAGTCACATCGATAGCTTTCTTTCACCAACAGGACCTCCAAACAGTCGTTCAAACATGCTTGTAAAGGCAGGAGCACTGATAAAGCGAATAGTTCGCCCAAAAGCGACAGGCGGTTCAAGCGCTGGTCAAGGGCGGCAGCACACTCTGGATTCAGATCATAGGCCTGCCTCGCAATCGTCGCACCAAGCATTTACAATGAACGCCATTGATCCCAGCAGTCGGAGAGAGGGAAGTCAAGGGGAATGTGTTGGTTCTGCGGTGAGATCTCCGTTTGAACGAGGCCTCATGGTCATTGACAGAACTTAGAGCAATCAAAAGCCACCTGATACGATGCAGAATGAAGGGGTGAAGGAGCTAAGCTTGACTGAAAGAAGGATTGCTTTGCTGGAACAGGAAATAGTGGCCCGGAATAAGGAGTTGGTCCAAGTGCGGGAGGATTTGAAGCGAGAGCAAACGGTACACAGAGATGAACGGCGTCTCTTGGATATACGCACGCAGGAACTGCAAGATGCGCACACTTATTTAACGATAAACGACACACTATCCGGTAACGAGCTCGTCGCGAAAGTTGAATCTTTGAATGCGGAGATATATCAGGTGTCGGCATACATGGCAGATTCCATGTCGTTCAGGGAGAGAGTTGATCCCGACTCCACTCCGGTGGAGGTGGTGCGCTGGCTTGGAAGCTACATCGTTCATCTGCTGTGTTCCCCAATAAATGACGAGACGCGCATTCAGGTCGTCCAAATCGTCACGCAAGCATCGTTGGTTCAATGCTGCGCAGACTTCATCTCTATGTGGCACATCGAAAGACACACAGACATGAATCTCAGCCGTCTATACGCTAAAATCCAAGCAACGAGTGAGTCAGTTGTACAACATTAGAAATTGAACACTGACAACATACCCCAGATACTCAAGTCGTCGCGGGCCGGTGGAGAGCAATGACTCGATCTGGATCCAAGTATGAAACCCTCTCCAACGTCAAGAAGGAATGGACAAACACGATCATCAGGAAATTGGCGATTGTGTTAATCTTCGCCAGATGGACTGGCGTCGGTACAGATCCGACCTGGGACGCATGTACGACCTTTCTGGTAGGAAAATATGGGGCGAGGATAGAAGAGGTCGTCCGTTTAGCCATAGATCTCGACAGAGGGATGGGCGAAGGCATTGTATCAGAGGATATCATGATATTCTCCGTCGGCAGAGGCAGTACGTTCGTGCCCGATACGATGCAAAGTTGCGATGGAGAATCCCCAGTACGCGACCCGGATCACGTTCTCTGCACCTGCGAGCTAGGACTGAAGATTTCGCAGTCGGTGGAAAAGGATGGTCACTCGGCAGAGCGACTGGCCATTCTTGAGAAGCCAAAGGTGGTCCTCTACTCGACAATGTCAGAGATGATATCCAGAATATGAAGTAAAAAAGCGCACTACTGAGCACTTGTAGCTACCACTTTATTGTACCCATTGGTCGATACTTAGCTCAATAACATTCTCCCTGAAAAGAACTGCAAATGATTTTAGAGGAGCCCTAAAGATGCTGGAGCGATACAAAGCAAACGAGCGACGAGTAGAACGTCGAGCAAGCGCATCCTGCGACGACCGAGTAGAGGACTCGGAAGTGAACAATTTGCGATAGACTGACCTGCCAGCCACGGCAACGATCATAATCCGCACATTAAGTCCGACAAAATGCCGCAACATGCCGTTTACCGGCAGCCTGGCATCCGGCTTGTGTACAATAAAAAAAACTTGAAATTACTGATGACGAAAAGACATTTACTAGGCCAGTGTCTACGCCATAATATCATTCAATCCCGACAGGAGGATCACCTTCGCTTTCTTCAAGATTTTTATTTTGTGGCCCTCTCCTTGGCTCTTAATCGATGCAAGGCCCAGTTCTGTGGTAGAACATATCTGTTTCTCGTTATCTGGCTCCTTCGAATCCTTTCCACCCATGGCGTCCTCCATTGCCTCCGCATTAAACGGGGAGCCTTCTGGGACGTACACTGGTTCCATCTCGCAGGACGTGACCCCCTGCCGAGTGGCAAACCGTAATTCCACCACCTTTCGCGCTACCCCTGAGCTCGCCAGCTTTTCCGTTACTGTCTTGTGGCCGGGATCAATACCAGCCACAATGAGGATGTTCACGAGTATTTCCTCAAGGACAGCGTCTATTTGGGATCGCTCGGCCCCATCATACTTGGACAGAGGAGCTATAGCCTTTTGTGTCAGAACCCGCCATCTTCCGGCAATAGCCTGCTTCTCTGCAGAAGAGCTGAGCTTACGTCACTCCTGAAGGAAATGTCCTACCTGACTGCCGTATGCGGTCATATATTTCATTCCAGCCCTTCTCGTCGCTGGGATCTCCCCCTAAGCACCATGACGTAGCCATCCATCCCGCATGCGCACAAATGGCAGCACTAAAAGCAACTTGAAGTACTTCATACTGCGAATTGGACTTGACGAAGCTCGTCATCGTATCCCCCAGGATTTCAACAACGCGTCCATAGGCGACATCTGTTGCCGGGTTACCCACACCCCTCTCTACCTGGTCGTATACATCAGCGAGCGTTGCAGCCATTCCAGAGATCTCCTCGTTCAGTGCCTCCACAGCTTGGATGATCTCGACGCCAGAGAACTGGTCTGCGGTGCTTAGATACACCTGAGCAACCCGCAATTCCTCCGCTCGCGCCCTCGACAGCTTCTCGCTCTCCTGGAGCTTCATCCCAAGCCCATGCAGTTCTTCCTTTCCCGTCTGAATGTCAAGGATCAATGCACGGTTGTGAGCACGGAATTCGTCTAGTTCTTTGTTCAGGTCCGAAATGCGCCGTTTCAATGCTTGCCCTTCAGTTTCATCCTTCCACGAGGATGATGTAGCTGCCTTCGATGCCTTTGGCGTGATGAATCAGTTTCTATTCCCCTTGTACGTTGAATGCCTCTCACCTGTTGGGTTGTTTCCGAAAGCGCCTTCCGCAACGATAAAACCTCTGCATCTTTCTGCGCTAGCGCCGATCTCAACACCGACAACAACTTGTAATTTTCTTCGAGCTCGGATGTGACATGTCTGTGCCGACGCAGTGCCAGGCATGACAAGAGGATCACTCCGCCGATAGGAGCCAGCACTGGCCACAAGGAATATACCACATTATAGGATAGGTCCTCATAACCGAAGGACATCGCGCCTACTCGTAGTGCAAGTGGGCTTCGTCGACTTGGTGGTATATGAAGAAGATGGTTCATGAGGCGAATGCATGTCAAGGGTGGGCCCGATCTCCAACGTGCATTCGGCGCTTCGTGCCTTCTTCAAGAAAGATCATTACCCGCCCTTCCAAACGGGAAATGAATTTTTCCATTTCTTGTCCCTGATGATAATGGTGGGAATGATATATTGGTAGGTGAAGAATCTCAGTGTAAAATCCGTGCAGTAATTAATATCCTCTCTGACTAGCGTTTTCACATCAATGAAGAACGCAATACCACCTTTGGCTTCAGCAAATATGTATCTTTCTCCAAGCCACCATCGTGAGATACCTCCGTTACCTTCAGCCCAAGATCGGACGTGCACATAACACGATCAGATGGCTGCACCTTCTCACCAAGTCCGTCGGCATTCTCCATGGACTCAAGATCGTACTGGCGGCCGCTAGCCACTATGCAGACGATTATGTCTTTCGAGACAACGCTTTCACCTATGACCTTGTCTAGCCTTGTCATCAGCTTTACGATGTCTCGTATCCTCCTCCCGTATTTTTCCATGATGGTGTCAACACATGCATCCCAGGTCGTCGTTCCATCTGAATTCCATCCAGCCAGGAGTAACACCAGGACCGCCCGCCTGACCATCCAAGGTATATACGGCTTCTCAGCCTCCTCCGGAGTCGAGTACTTCGATTTCGATCGAGTCATTACACGCCATCGCGCCGCGACGGGCGCCAAACCTGGAAAAGAGAGTCGAGATCCATTTCGTCATGTGTATCAGTGGACGTACTAGTTTTCCGTATCTTTGCGTACAGCTGACGGAGTCCCTCATCGATCTGTCGATCGGGATGCCACATCACAATGGTCGCCATACAAGATCGAACGAGCGACGCCTGAAGCGCCACTTGAACGGCTTGAACTCGCGCCTCAGCATCATCGTTCCCTGACCGCAAAATCTCGGCCAAGTCAGCGCCAATCCAAGGGGCTATCTCCTCCGTATTCGCGAGTCTGCACTTGGACCCGAACACCGAGGAATCAGCTATATAGGCGGCGGTCTGGAAGATCTCGGCATTCAACGCCTCTGCCATCGACACGACATCTTCTCCAGACACCAAATCAGCGGTATCCAAATATATCCGGGCGTCCTGTAGCTCCCTCGTCCTGACGTCCAGAAGGTACCGCAAACTCTGCAATTCTACATCCTGCGAATTGAGTTTGGCTTCAAGCTGCTTCTGAATGGTCGACAGCTCATTCCTCAATTCCGAGTTTTCGAGACGTAGACGCTCTTCTTCATCCGGGTGGCAATCCTTACTCAGTGTCTTTGTGCTTTCCGTTTCTTCCTTGGGTTCGCCCTATGACCCAGGGTCAAACAAGGATCAAATCAAGCAAAATATGCGATATCTTACCTCGCCATCATTTGAAACCACCACATATCCTTCATCGCACTCAGCTAGATCTTTGTATCCCTCTAAAAACCCGCATTGAATGTACTGCCTCGATATTGGATCCCACCCATCGATATGAAGTGCTTTTTCCCAGTACAAGGACGCCTCGCCTGACACCGTGTCAACCGCGTTGTTTTTCTCAGCGCTTCCTGGAACATCGGGATTGTGACTAGCGAGTTCCACTCGGCCGTCTGACATAGCGATTCGCAAAGTGGGTATCTTGAATTTGGTGTAGTGAGGAAGCTTTCGAGGTATGGAACTTGGGGGGTTGGTGAAAGGAGGACCGATATCCTAGGGGTCTTCCTATGAAATAGTCAACGTGCATCCCTCATGTTTTTATAGGGCATGTCGCATCCTTTGATCGATATGAATACTGCTTCATTGTGAAAACTCGATCAGTGTGCATGCACAAGAATCTTGCACCTGCAGAAAGTATTCAGTTACACGTGTTGCTGAACCTGACAATTCATTATTTCAGATAAGAAAATGAGTTTTACCCATCCCTGACTTTGTAGCTTCTTTCATCCTAGAAAGCGACCACCAAGCCAGAGGTTGTGCTTGGCCAGCAGAACCTACGTGATTTCTGTCAGCATTTTTCTTATGCCTTTGTAGCAAGTAATTTGTATTCCATACAACAATCTGTGATTGGCTGTGAAGAAGATGATGATCATCCTGATGTTGAATTTGTTAATTGTGGAGAGTCTCATGCATCTGGTGAAACTCACTATAGAACCTGTCATTTTTATATCTGAGACAATCCCTACCTAAAAAATTGTGCCCAGCATGACTTTCCTTTCTTTGTACTACAGCTCTCTGAATTAGCCAAGGAGTGTCCTTTAAAACAGCCAATGCCTCTTGCCTGCAACAAGTCTTTCTAAGATCATGCCTGCTATTTCTTTTGAATACCCCTCCACTTCCAGCAGATGGTATGGGTCCCAGCCAGTCTCTGAACAGCTCTGGACCCATCTTTCCCCATATAAACCTGACCTCACCATCCCCACTCTGACAATCATATTACAAGTCACCACATTTGTGGTGCTCATAATCTTCACTCTCTTCCTTGTACTCCTTATTGTCTGCATAGTCCTATGCTCCAGTTCCACTGTGCTCATAATCAGCCATGCCATCCTTCACTGCATCCACAATCATCTCCTTGAGGGCATCCCTTTGTTATGGTCATTCAAAGTTGGGCTAATTGAGAATGCAATCACATTTGTGGGTGTTAGCCTCATTCTGCTGTTGGCAAATGTGGTCTTGCCTCAGTGAGCTGCTCTGATACTTTGGTATCTCTTCATTTGGGCTTTCACCCCTATTGCAAGTGCCATAGATGCTGTAATCTTAGACCCTACAAAGAATTTGGTGGATGGTGCTGTTGTTGCAGGGTGCTTGGGTAGTGCAGTTGTCATGGCTGCAAGGCTAGCTGTCTCTGCACTTGGAATGTAGTACAGTAGCAATGAATGAATCAACAATGTGTGGAATGCACACTACTAAAACACCAACACCAAATCACAATGCAGTTTGAGGGAGAAATAGTAATACCTAGACTCTAAGTGTGTAGAGAATGTAATATAGATAGGGTGCAATAAGATATAATTCAAAGATATATGTTGCAGTTTGCTTGAACAAAGCTGTCTGTGTCACTGAACACAACAAAACTTATCTCAAACAGTCTGCCTGGTGCAGGTTCTGAACTTGTACTGACTGCCTAGTGCAGTTTCTAGACTGATATGATGCATCTGGTTGCAACTTATACACAATACTGGCTGTTCTGAACTGTCTTGGGTCTGTCTGACTGTCTGATATAAACTTTTGGTTGCTTTTTATGGGTTCTTGTACAAAACAAAGTGACTTGGTCACCACAATACTATTCAGGTTGAGTCTACAACTTTGTTGAGATTTGGACTGTATCTAGAGTACATGCTTGTAAGACCTTTAGTCTTTGGGTTACAAACTCCTGAAGAGTTTCCCATTGACTTCTCATATTTATACTAGACTACTCCTTTCCTAGTAGCTTCTACCTAATTCCTTCAATTTCCTTCAGACTCTTTTCTTACTCAGCATGCTGGAATGCTGGATTGCTTGAATTCTCTTGCAGGTTCCAACAGTATGGCATTAATGCCTCCTCACCATATGGTGGCCTTACTATGTGCTCTGGTTCTTCAAGCTTTAAGCTTTGATTTCTGTACTATGTAAACTCTAATAACAGAAGAATATAAGTAATGATCTCAGTCAGACACAGCATAGGTGAAACAACTGTATTAGATGAGTACTATACCTAATAACAGAAGAATATAAATAATGACCTATGAAGGAGTGTGAGTGATATAGTAAAGAGCACAATAATGGTATACATATCTTAGTCAGGCACAGCATAGGTGAAATGACTGAGGTATATGGGTATTTATGACCAGGCTATATAGGTGATCAAGTAATCACAGAGGGCATGTATATATGGTAAGTAAGAATAGGTGATTGAAAGAGTAATAGTATGGGTATACATACAGATATTCTCCAACAAACTCTGGATCCCATTATATCTTCTGCCATTTTAACACCATGATTCATGTGCATTTATTGCCTGTACATGAGAGTTCCACCACCTTTGCATGGCAAGCCAGCTCTTGAACCCCAACCACCACTGACTTTGACTCCACTTCTAACACTTTTGTAATGACAAAAGATACTTTGTAAAAACTATGAAGGGTAAAAGTAAGCAAGTGGCTAATGGTCAGGATAAGTAGACATACCTCAGTTATATGCAGCAAGAGTAGAATGACTGAGGTATCATGTAAACTATGGTGAGGCTTTTATATGAAAAACTGTAAGGACAGGAGTATGTATATAAAAGGTAAGTAATAAGTAGAAAAAATATGGAATGGCAGGAACTCAACATCAAGGTGTGGATAACCTCCAATACTTCAGCACAACATCTTTGCATGTGGGAAAGACTATGACTGGCATCTCTACAGTCATAATTTGTTGTTACAGTTGCACTTGGTCCTTTCCAGTGTTCCACTGCCTAAGCTGGGTAACTATGCATGAGAAAGGGATTCTTGGCTGTGTTCTTTGTTGTTCCTTGATATGTCTGGCTTCTCTGGTATTTAATATGTTCCATAGTGATACCTGTGAACAGAGGGCCAGAAATACAGCTCTTGGATGCTTGCAAAGGAAGCCTTCTGAGTGCTTATGGTCTTGTCTTCTCCATCAAAGTTATTAACAACCACATCAACAGGGCTGGGAATGTCCTCTATTGTTCGGATTGCAATGGCTCGTGAAAATGGACCTCTTGAATCCTATAAAGGCCTCATGCTTCAGCATCATCCCTTAGGCCTGACTCTCATCACTGCTTTCAGACATAGGTTCTCTGTAGACTATTGGGTCCTACAAGTATCCTAATCTCTTTACAGTGCAGTCCAAAGCATGATGGACTACGGATTCTATGCGCAACAATTTGTCCCACTGAAGAACCTGGATCCCGGAACGCAAGGGATTCCCAACCCCAACACGAGTGTCCCAGCGCCATCGATAGCATCACCCCTCGTCCCAGATTCAACGTTCTTTGACATATTATGGAATTTTCGCTCCCTCATTAAACATACAGCAGTGATGTATTCTTGCTCGCCACATTCAATAAAGTGGATCTACTATGGCACTATGCTCCTCAATATTCTCTCGCTTTGGGTCTTGTGCATGTTCTCAGTCGTGACATTTTCTTTATTTGGATACTTCATCACTTCGCCTGTCCCTTCCCCGATGGATTACTCTGACTTCTTCAGAGCTTGCGTGCTGGGTACCTTCGTTTTGAGTCCTGCCTGGCTCCTGCTCATATGGGTAATTCCGCGCGCGTGACTATTCCTGTTGATACTGTCTCGAGTAGAGCTCGAAAAGCGTGCCATGCACTCGTTTTCCAGCTCTTTTTCTTGGCAGCGGTCGTTGCGGCTATGATCGCTAACGTCGTGGTCGGTGTAGTAGTGAAGGGAAGCAACATGAAGTTGGATGGGATCTATGCTGCTCGGGCTGGGGCAGTGGGGGGCGGATTGATGTGTTCCTTTGGCCTTTTCGCCGTATTGTTGGGTTCTTTCATGTTGTGTGCGGCCAAGTGGTGCACAATGCACTGATGTTATCTAGATATCGTAAATGAAATCGATGAATTTAGCTGGAAAAACTTAGCCGAAAAATTTATGATTCCTTGGCGCGCGAAACTGCTGTTTACCGGAAATTCGCCCGTGTCAGAACGTGGTGAGTCGCATCGCACCACACATCAAACCATAAGCGCTGAGCGGTCCAAAAGTCTGCCCAACATAGCGAGGAGAGCAAAGGTCCTTGGTTGTCGAATGATGATCGATATTAAATTGGGGTCTAGGTCACAAGCTTGAACAATAAGCTCATCCGCATGTGGGCTGCTTCCAAGATAAAGAGGACATATACTGCTGCACATAGTGAATATACTTGGATACCAGCCAACATGAGTACAATCAGTAGACTGGGTAAATTTCTGACAGTTCTCATCCAGAGAATCGGAACAATGACCTTCAACTCTTGAGTCAGATGGAACTCCAGGTTTAGCGGGGGTACCGAGATTTGTGCAAGAAAAAAACAGTAACTATGAAACCTATGGCACTGTATGACACTATATGCCAGAATGTTGAGACCGTGAACGGGAATAATGTCTGTGAGAAGGTAGAACAGGCCGGTATGAACATTGAAGACTGGCAGAACCAGAGGCAAGCTACAATTAGAAGTTAAATGGCATGTAGGTAGAGCAATGAGCACTTGCAGCAGGAGGGACTGGCTTCTTGAAGCTCGAAATGGAGGAAGTACGATAACATAGTTATCAGAGACCATTTCTTTCTCTTTGTTCCTCGGATCTAGAAGAGCAGGAAGAGTGCGGGCCGACGGTGCCGGATTCCGTCGGGGAAAAATAGAGCTATGACGTCCGTCTGACATATTGCAGATTGTTGGCAAATTACCTTTTGCCTTCCGCCATCATGTTGTTGATTCGACGTCTTCCTCCGTGGGACGCCTTCTTCATCCTCTCGCAGATGCCTATGTACAGGCTACTCTGATTGAAGACTCGCTTGGAATTAATCCACTGTTTGAATGCCTAGACGACAGGAATCATGCAGTCAAGGTCTTGGCAGAATTTCATTGAAGGCGGCCATTGGGTTCGCTTGACCATTCAGAGACCTTGGATTGGCCGCAATGGTCTTCGAAACACCACGAAGGGCTTATTATCCCGTTGATGACCTTGGGCTTCGCTACATGTGCGGCGTTCAAGTTCCGCCGAAGTTTCGTTCTGTCACTCACCATGCGCTACAGCTACCATCACCGGCCTTATAATGCTTCACGGTAGTCTTTTTTATTCAGAATTCGAATAGTATGCGTGCCCTCGAACATTCACTGGTCTTTCTGACCTTTTTGACTGGGTTGTACGCGTATACATGGCCTTCGAACATCGATTACCTGGAAGGCGTCATGTATCAGCAGGCAGGATACCGTCGATTTGGCGTCATCGACGGAGTGACGCCGTGCAGTTTTTCCAGCGAAGGAGAAGGAAAGCAAGCCGCAGCGGAATGGGTGCGTCTGCCATCTTCTTTCATACCGAAACTCGTTCTTATCTACGTGTAGGTTCGGACTGCGTTCCACGACATGATAACCCACAATGCGGCTGATGGAACTGGTGGAATGGACGCATCAATCATGTTCGAGATGGACCGGCCAGAAAATCCAGGATCAGCATTCAATTCGACTATGAACTTCATGATCAACTTTTACAACATACAGACCTCCATGGCCGACCTTTTTGCGCTCGCGGTGTATGCTGCTGTCAGAGCCTGCGGCGGCCCTCGCCTCTCTATGAGGGGAGGCCGTGTTGATGCTACCGGCCCTGGAGTTGCAGGAGTTCCTGAACCTACCGACGATTTGGAAACCATCGTTGCTCAGTTCGCGACGGCGGGTTTCAACACAACGGAGATGATACAGATGGTAGCCTGTGGACACTGTGAGTCTCCATTCATTCTTTCCTGAGCAACCCCTTACGTTCATTTAGCTTTGGGTGGTGTACACGGCATCGACTTTCCTGATATCACCGGAGACAATAGCTCTACCAATTTCGTCCATTTCGATAGCACCTTCAGCTCTTTTGATTCTGCCATCGTCACCGACTATCTCGGTGGTGCTACCGGGAACCCTCTAGTTGTTGGACCAGAAGGTTCCAATTCCGACCTGCTCGTATTCACGGCGGATGGTAATGCGACGATGCGTTCAATTTCAGATGCTCTCTCATTTTCAAACACTTGCCAAGCTATACTTCAGCGAATGATTGACGTCGTTCCCTCCTCCGTCACGTTATCCGCGATCATCGACTCAATTCCCATCAAGCCCGTAGCGATTCAGTTGACGTTCGACTCCAGCGGAACCCTTGCGTTCACAGGAGAGATTCGTGTCCTGATATCGGACCGAGACGACACAGAACTGACGGTTCAGCTACATTATGCCGATCATGATGGTGACATCCCCTCTAACAACACAATTTCCACCGCAGAAATTCATTCCACTGGATATGGTTACGATGCAGAGTTTAAGGCATGTCTATGTATATTTGTACTTTCTTCGTGGCTAACAGGGCACTAGTTCTACGCCTTTTCAGCGGCAGTGCCGAATGGCATCTCCTCTTTCAATATATCCGTTGCTCCATCCTCTGGCGGAGAGGAAACGTACGATAACGGAGGCTCCGGGTATCCCATACAAGACAATATCATTTTTCTCAGTTCGCATTCTTGTCTTGTTCAAGAAACGGATGCGAATGGCAACTGGAACCTCACGGCTGTTGCAGCAGTAAGTGCCTTTGCTCTATATCTCAACATTTTTCAGGAATGTCGTTGGTACAGGTCCGGAATGATGAGTCATTGACGAATCCTTCCTTTGATGTTGTGGTGAAGACGCCGCGTATTGGTATACCCGTCCCTTCACTGGCTGTTGAGTCTTCTGCGATGGAGGTCTGGAATACGGATGCGTATAAAGGGTTTACCCTGTACACGGGCCATTTCAGTCTTCCGATTTATTCGTGGTCGACAACGTTTGATGTGACCGTGGGAGAGTATTCGGACTCGTTCAAATTCTCAACCGCTTTGTCTGGTACCTGTGTAAGTGACATTTGTGTGCTATTCGATGTGTGATTTGCTGATCAATAATTCTGCAGTCATAGGAAATATTGGCCTGAAATGTATTCCATTCATTTGTCAGTGGTAGGATAAACCAATATGAGATTTCTGTGCTACATTTTGCCATCGTCTAGGCTCTCAGATTCGTGCAGGATGGTGATGTCAATTTTTGTAGATAGTTTGTCGGAACTAGGGTATGGCTTCTTGTCTTGGCAGAATATATCGTTGAAGGTGGCCCTTACGCTCGCTTTATCTTGAGATTGGTTGAAATGTTTTGAGGACATTGCCGCGAACGGGCTTATTCTCCCGTTCATCGTCTTCATGGGATTCTACCATATGTTAGGGCTATCCTCGTCGACTTTTCCCCCCTTGGTACTGTCATCGTTCACTAGCACAGCTTCATGCGTACCATTGAACATTCGGTGTTTTTCCTAGTCTCGTTGATGTGTACACTTGGCCTTCGAACATCGACTACCTGCATCAAGAAACTGGACTTGCTATCATTGAAGAGGTAGTCCCATACCGCTTCAATAGTGAGATGGGAGAAGGGAGGCAGGCAGTAGCAGAATCTGCAGCTTTTTCCATTCTAAAGTCAGAATATTTTCCATGATATAGCACGATGTACCGGCTTGTTCTACCTTCTCGTAGACACGATAGCCATTCATGTCTCGAATTTCTGGCCAAGGGCGTTAGAGACTATCGAAGGACGATCTGCGGAACATGTCGAGGGGCTAGTCAAGCTCGCTATACAAGTGCGCAATGCCATCGGCTCAGGCATCGTATCTCAGGACCTGCGTCTCTCATGGGTCAACATGATTCACCATTCGACTCAACTACGATGATCGATAATGACCGTCCAGACCAAGGTCATGCCTCGGCTTCAGATAACGTGGTGAGCCTGGTGGCAGCGTGCACGAGTTTTGGGTTGACGGTGGACCGCGTGACGGGGGAAGTGAGAAACAATGGGACACATCAGGAGGATCGGGTATTACTGAAGGCTGGAGTTATTCTGTACTCTGCTTTTTCACTTCCGTAACTTCTTCCAAGGGCGAACGGCTTGACATGGTTTACATTTGATTCAAAAGTCCACTGGGTTTGTATCTTTTCTATCAAAGCATGTGATGAGGCTTGTTCAATGTGTTAACATCGTATCGTACCTTGGGTTTCCTACGCTGATTCTCTTATCACATCGATCTGGCACCATAGATTCCAGCTGGTCAGTTCAGCGCAGACGATCATTGATGTGCCCGGTTCCATACTAGATGTACGGGTGGCTTCTCGAGAGCATCTACGCTGAATTAACGGTCATGAATATATATTGCTGGAGAGAATGTACAGCGGGACCCAGAAAATGAAGTAATGAATGCGAAATATATCAGCGAGCGACACAGGAAGCAGGATGAATCAACGGAAGCCCATACACCGCTTAACTCATCCCTTTGACATCATCATACACAATAACAGCAGGGCACCTTCACATATTGTCAGCAAAACATCGTGAATGCCGCACGAGAGAGTAGCCTACCGTTTCGTTTCGCCCTTCAACAGAGAGCGTCGTCAGATGACAGAAACAAGACTTGTTAGACGCGACTCACATTCTCAACCCACTGGAGCTGAGCCTTGAGCTCCGTCAGCCCAAACAGGAGGACGACGTCAAATCTGATGGTATAGAAGGCTTGGCCCTCTCGTCCCATCTCCAGAGCCAAGCTTCGCGTTATACCAGATGTGTCAGCCTGTACCGTGCAAAGAGTGGAAAACATATCTAGTCGCCAAACGATGAGAGCGTTGATATCAGCAACATGATTAAAGCTCACGAGGATTGAGGTCAATCCAATCAGGAGCAGGGGATGGTCCGCGGTAACACAAGAGGTCGACATAAAGGCTTTCCATTGAACGGATGTGTGAGCCTTCTTGCCAATACTTCTGGTGAAACTCTTTCTCTTCCTGCACATGAGTGCCCTATAAGCAGTAGGTTACTTCGGTTCCTGACCCCGATTGAAATGGCACTACCTTCGTCAGAATCGGACTGAACATATGAGGCACCACAGACCGGCCTGAGGGCATAGGAATCACTGTTGATGCTCGCATGAGGTGCTCGGGTTTGGAACGTTGGAAATCTGTGACACATTCGATCCCGTATGTAAAGTTAGCGACTCGAGCGGAAACAAAGTGGTCGAGATAGAATGACAACGCCCCATCAGCCACAGCCTTGTTTCTATATGATGTCTTTAGACATGATAATAACTATCGATAAAGAAATGCTTACACGTGCCCATCGGGGCGACAGATAGATAATCCACGAGATCCAAGTTGTTGTTGCAGCTGAGAGAACAGCCAGTCGCTAGCTGCGAAACCACCCACGAGAACTATGGTCTGTCAAATAATAAGATGGAAGGTCAAGGGAGAAGTATGAATGCCTACCGAAACGCTCCGAGAAGCCTCCTGCATCTGATCCGTCACGGCTTCGATGATTGATGTGACCGAAGGTTCGAAAAACTTGGCAACGACATCGCTGAGTGCTCAGAGTCAGGATAGAGCAAGCCTGTTGTTATACAATGATACGGACCCAGCGAGTTTCATCTGCCCATTTCTGATGCCTACAGCAAGATCCTTGTCCCGAGCGCTGCCGAAGCGTATGAACTGCGGCTCAGATGCATTGCGGAAACCAAGTTTAGTTGTTTTGTCGAAGACGCTAGTGATTTGATTGATATCTTCTTCACCTTTGAATTTCGATTCCGCCAATGCATCTACCAGCACTGTGAGAACATCGATGCAGAAATACTATCCTCTCACCTTCGAGGTAAGACCTTGCGCGTCGACCCACGAAAACGGACCCTTGTAGCCGGCCTGTGAAGAGTAAGACGGAGATGCTACGTGAGCAGTGAACGAACAGACATTGGGTCGCCGCAATTTCCTCAAAGGTGTTGGAATTCGATGTCTTTCCGTAAGCACTGAGGTCAATTGTACCACCTCCAGCGTCGACGATGATAATACCGTCTCCCTGCTAGTATAACGGGTAAGCATTGACAAGAATGTCAGGACAAGGAAATAAACTGACACGCTCATTGCCCAAGATTCCCTTGTTGATACAAAAGTGCAAACTCGCCTCGCCTTCCGTAACGAATTGTAATCGTGCCTGTCCGTGAGGAGCGTCCGGAATGAGGCCAGCGACAACTGCAGCTCTCCTCATAATAGCTTGCTGCGGCCCTTCCCATCCATTCGGGTGAGTCAATATGAACTCAACGTTATCTTTGACAGACTCCCAGAACGCCGGCCCTGATGGATTTGCCTCGATGATGTACGTGCGGGTACACTCGAACAGGTACCTTAAAAAGTCAGAAAGTACATCAATGCCTTTCTTCCCCCTAGGAAGTGGTGGGATGTCAGCATCGGTAATATGTGATGCGGCTAGGGTCTTAGGTCTCAGGTGGAGCTTGAACCTGTCATAGTTTTATTAAAAATTTACATCTAGCGTACGCACGCAGTACTGACCATTCGACCTTGATAAATTCGTTGTCTTCGGCTTCCTCAAGGAAGCCTTCCTGCGTGGCCTCTGCACCAACAGCACGCACTGCGCCATCCTTGTCATAGTAAATGATACTGGGAATCTTAGAGTCGCCACCGACTTTTTGCTGGGCAGGAAACCTAGCAACATGGATAAGCTATTAGACGTCCGACATCGTGGGACTCGGGCACACCTTGTTACACCGCGTACCTCTGGCACGAGGCCAGGGTCAAGGATAGCGTAAGAGGCGCCAGAAAACGTCGTTCCAACGTCAAAGGCGATGACGACTTTGCGGAAGGTGCCTTGGTATCTATTGCGTGCAGTCATGGTGGGGATTTGCATCTAGGAGGAGGTGAGAACGGTGAGGTCGTCCGTTTTGTAGGTTTTCAATGGTCTCCATTCTTCTCTCACGAGACAGAGAGGGAGGTGGTTGACGCTGTGACATGGTGACGTGTGTGAAGACATTTCCGGATATCACCGCATCACATCATCACCGCTCGACACATGAATCGAAAACACCAGAACAGAATGCACAGTGTTGAACATGAAGCTCGACAATGAAGCGGGTAGGTAAACACGTTCATTAACTCTGAGTCATGAAATCCCACCGGAGAAGGGTGCGGCAGCCCAACACGTTCCTGCCTCATGGCAAGCTAATGTGAGTTTTCTTCTCCTCGCCCAACCACCGTAACTTATGATGACCTCTCATGACCATCGCTCCACAACGTCCGTCGTGCTCTGCGGACTCAGCATTGTTGCCATCTCGGCATCCTGCTTCACCGTTATCAGGCGATGCCGACGAACCAAAGCCGAGCTCGAACGATCGAACCGCGCGCTTACGGCAGAAGGAGAAAGAAAAGACGCTATCATTCGAACCTTGCAGAGATCTTTGTCAGACACGACTGCAGAGTTCAAGACAACCAAAGCCCTCGTTTCTAGCCTCACGCGAGGTTCGGATGTGCTCAAGCAGCGATTGACCGATGCCGAAAATGAGCTGCAACAGGCGCGGAATCAGAACCACATGCTGGATCAGCAGTTGAAAGCGCAGACAGTGGCGGCAAAATTGGCTAGCGATGAGATGGAGAGAGTATCGCTGGCACACGAACAGACGAGGGGACTGTTGAAATCACGGACGGAAGAGTTGAGGGCAGCGCAAGTATATCTTGACAGGGCCGACCAATCCTCTGGTGCTGATGTCATCAACATGATCGACGCCTTGAACGCCGAGATTTTCCAGACAGCAGCTACAGTGGCTGAAGCGTTCAAGTTTGGCGAGAAGAAAGTTGAGGAGTCGAGCGAGGCCGTAACTGCATACGACCATGTCATCGAGATACTGGGACCGCGCATGACAGAGCTGCTGAAGTCGACGCTGCATCATGACGACCAGATCCTCATCCAAACTGCATTTCAAGCCGCAATGTGCGCGTACGTGGATTGGATTGTCACATCGTGGTACTTCGAAGGGAGGGAGGAGGAACAAATGCTGAGTAGTTTGTATGCAATCATCCAAGAATCGGGTACGTCGCGTTGACTACTTCTGATAACCACCATTAACGAAAGATGTATGTTCGACAGAAGAACAAGCCGTTGCGGGGCGCTGGCGCGCTCTGACGCGTAAATACGCGCTTCAAGCCTTCAGGGAGGCCCCCGATAGTCAACGGCAACTGCTGAGCGTTGTGATGGAGACCTTGGTCAACATCCTCATCAGCGCCGGCTTGGAATCCGCGACGTCTGAAGTCAGCGAGACCATGGCTGCCCAGTTCGCAGAACACGCATCTGCCGTGGTCGAGCATGCGATGCGGCTGAACCGCGTCATCGGCCAGGGGATCACTTCGTGTGAAATGATGCCGTTATACCTCGTGCCGGAAACGCCGTTCGATGCGAGTGTGATGGAGGATACCTTTGGGAGTGCTTCGAAGGATAGCACTGAGAATATTCTCTGCACGACGGATCTCGGGTTGATGAGAATGGAGAAGAAGGGAGAACAGTGGGAGAAAAGAGTTCTGGTGAAGCCGAAAATCATTCTGAAGTCGAGTTTGGCTGATACGATCCTGGCGGAAGAGGTTCATTGAGCTGATCATGGACATCATTATGTCCCCCCTCATGGTGATATCGGTATCTAATATGTTGTTATAACGCTCCTAAGATCCGTGCGCTGTTGACGATGAAATTTGAGAGAACACGAGTAGCACAAAAGACGCACAAGAGCGAACAATTTTCCTTCATTTTCATATCCCATCGATGGTACATCATGCTCAAGAAACACCTGATGAGCTACAATTTGCTAACATTCCTTGTTTTCTGATGATGGTCCACGGAACAGCGTGTCATCATCACGCAAAACCTTATAGGAATGGAAGCACGCAACGACTAGCGCCTGGATATTTGAATAGCTATCCAGTTAGGAAAATATATCTGCACCAAAGACACTAAATTTGAGCCGAAGGCACAGATAGCGGCAATTACTCACGCACGATCTTCGTGAAATCCACCGTTAGCTTCAAGAAGCCCTCTACCAATACCTGAGACTAGACGGATGAACAATTTCCTTGTTCAGCAAGACTGAAAATCATGACAAGCATATCTGCTCACGCTGGTTGTGATACGTTCAAGGAAGCATGAACTGTTGGCTATGTGGTCCTACGGCCTAAGGTACAGGAAAAATAGAGAACATATCGAGAAGGTTAGAGTTGCAAGGATGCAACGAAAGGCGGCGATGTAAAAACTCCTGCAGTGGTGATTGATGGTGGTGATAAGAGATAGAAAGACGGAAAGCGGGATCAGGATCATTGTTCCAAATTTGGAAAGTGGCGGTGATAGCCGAACTTCGCACACCAGTTGTGTTTTTATTTTCTTAGCCGTCTCCCGAAGGAGCCTATGCCAGAGATACCTGGATAGTATTTTGGAGGCATGGGTAATTAAATATAATAGAATATACAAATCAACGACTTTACGGTGCCAGGTAAGAGTACTGTACCTATCATCCAACGGCGCGCAAGTTCATTTGTGCTCAAGCGCGCTGAAAAGCACAACCTTGGGTTTCAACAAAACTTGACTCTCCACTTCCGTATTGGACCCTGCCCCCTCTCGATCCTTGATAACCTGCATCAATACCAGTCCAAGGTCGCACGTCGACAAGACATAATCTTCTGCAGAAACGCCTGAGCTTTTACCAAAGGCATTTTCCATGATACTAGGATTGAAGGGTGTTCCCCCAGGAATCCACCCAGCCGCCACGTCCTTGGAAATTAATCCTTCTCCCATGGCCCTATCTAGCCGCACTAACTTCTTCGCTACCTCTCCTAGTCTGGTCCCGAATCTCTGGCCCAAGAAGCCTGTCGCATCCCCCATCTGTATGACTGGCGATGGCCTCCACCCAGCGACGACCAAGACAGGAATCATATCTTCCAGCAGAACGCGTGTCAAATACTCCTCTACCTTCAAATCCGATTCTAGATACTTGCACCTAGCGCGTGTCATGGCTCTCCAGCGACCAGCGACTGCTGGTGTACCTAAAGAGAAATCTATCAATCTCCAGGCATGGGTCAAGAACCAATCTACCTACACGTCCGTCGAATGTTCGCATAAAGACGGGTGAAATGGTTGCTCACGTCCGGAGAAAAAGTCCAGGCACGAATTAAGAAAGAAGAAGACTGAGCGAGCGATGCCTGGATCGCAGCTAGCGTTGCAAGATGTCTTGTCTCCTCCTCCGAATCGTCCCGCGGCGCTCCAGCAGACAACGTACTTACCAGGGGCTTCCCAATGCACCTCACCGCTGCAGCTTGTGCCTGTTCATCTCCCGGAAACGTCCCATCAAAATCCAGCGTATCCACCATAAGGGCCGCAACCTGGTAGATTTCGGTATTTAGCGCCTCCGTCATTCCTTTGACTTCCTCTCCAGATATCGCGTCCTCTGTGGTTAGATACGCCCGAGTATCCTGCAGCTCTCGCATTCGAAGTTCCAATAAAGTGTGTTCCTGCCTTCGCAGAGCCCTCTCCTTCTCTAGCTCTGCGTTAACCCTTTCAACTTCTTGTTTCCGTATATCACTCTGCTTTATCACCGATTGAAGCTGCATCTCGAAATTCCTCTTCCCTTCTGTACTCTCCTGCTGTAGCCGCGTGACTTCCTGTTCGAGCCTCAAAACCGTCTTCTGCCCTGTCTCGTTCTTCTCGTTGGCTTGGATAAGCTCTCGTTCGACGATCGTATACTTCTCCTCAGCGTCTGCGACACGACTCCTCAGCTGACTATTTTCAACGTTCGCCTTGTCCAGCCTCTGAAGATCTGATTCCGGTTTCCGCTCTCGTGTTGTTCGGACATTTCTTTCCTCAACTTTCTTGTCCGTCGCCGGCTTTTTCAGAACATCTGAGTAAAGCGGTCCGCGCTAAAAGTTCATGAGGTCAATGTTTATGATCTTTTCTTTAGGTATAAATTATGACCCACCTGGGCTGGCTTTGCCTCCATGGGTCCGGATTCTTTGACCGGTGTTCTTGGTTTTTGAGTCCGACCTTGACCGTTCGAATAGCTCTTCGTCGAAGATGAAGCTATATTATTTTCAAATTTGGTTTCTGCATCTACCGGTGGCTGAAGGTGAGGTTCCTTGGTATCTGGGGCTTGTACGATATTTCCAGACAAATGCTCGCGAGAAGAGCGCATACGAAGCTGGGGTCGGCCTTTCCCTGACTCGTCCGACGTGTTTTCCCCCAAGGGCTTGGTCACGCCACTGACCATCTTGGTGAACCCACGAATTAAGGATCCTAGTTCCTCTATGAACATAGCAAGCCAAAAGACGGAGACGGTACTGAATGGCAAGAGTGCTTCGTAGTATGCCACTAAAATGTTCATTCCACGTGTATGCAGGACTTGACACGCAGCATACACGCCTTTGAATGTTAGCATGGTATCCTTCTTCGCCGGGACCTCGTCAATAGGTTGAAGTTATGAAGAGATCCTTGTGAGAGTTCTGTGACCGGTATGATGTTCAAAGCGATCCATGATCATTTCTTATTGGAACATTAACCGCCCTTCACTGTCACATGAGCAGAAAAGATCCAAGAGGAATGTATTAGAACCGCGAGATAGACTTATAGGTCAAGACTAAAATATACGATGTCTTTTCTGAAAACAAACTCATCCCGAGTCGTTAGCCATAAATGCAGAGTATAGAGTGACGCCAGTCTTCAACAAAATGTTGTTCCCATCGCAGCCTTTAAGCCCAAGTTCACATGTACACGCCACAGCTTCGCCGTCCTCCTTCTGGTTTCCATATGCGTCGACCATCGTGTCAGAGTCAAAATGATCATCGAAGTGTGCAGCATATACAATTAAGTCTTGAGACGTGATGCCCTCACTCACAGCCCGATCCAGTTTCATCGCCGCCTTCACGATCGCACCAACACGTTTGCCAAAGGTCGGCATGAAGGTGCCCCTTACACCTGCAGGCGACCACCCGGCGATAAGACATTCAACACCACTTCAACGATACGAGAATGGAAATTCTCTTTCAGTTTCTGATACATCGTTGTACTTGCTTTCCTCGCGAATCATCGACCTCCATCTGCCTGCTACGGCAGGGCTGTCCGCGTCTGTATTACTAGATTTCAGTGATAGATGGACTGAGAAGCAGGCAAACACTTACACCCCTTTCGAATATTCACGATACAAATCATGAAGATCGTCATCCGTGGAAGAGTGCTTAGACCATACAGAAATGAATTGTCGGCAAAGTCGAGTAATTACGCCCTGTAGTGTGGCCTGGACAACGATGGCATGCGTATCCGGGTCACCTCGAACCTGTAGCAGTTGCTTTATATGACCATTCTTCGCGAGACGTTGCTCCGTCGGCCTCTGATCTCCATCTACCTCCATGGTATTGTCCTCGAACTACAGTATGTCTACCATGTCAGCAGCCAATTGCAGATCTCAGTATTAAGACACTGGACCATCACCTTCATTTCCGCACAAGAGCACAGATCATCTTTCGTCAAGAAGGTTTCCGTGTCATGAAGCTCCTGTGTCCGCGTCGCGAGCAGTCGTTGATCCATTTGGCGCTGTTCCCACTCGTGAAGAAGTTTCGCACCAACGCTTTGAAGTTCCTGTTCCAGGCCTTTGTTCTGCTTGCACAAACGCTCCATCTCCGTCATGTCTTCTGACAAGGTTGTGAAGTGAAGATACCCCTGATGCTTGATGGTCCAGGATGGCCTGAGAACGTGTCAGTTTTCGTAACGCTTCGTCTCTTTCACTCTCCACCTTCATTCTTGCCCGCGTTTCCTGCTTCAACTCATCCCTAACGACATTTCTTCCTTGTTCATCTTCCCCGAAATGCCCCTGTTCATGCCATGGAGCTGCGAGAATCCATCGCGTACGAATCATCTACATCGTTGACGACCGTTTTTATCCTATCTATGGTGGGGTTCTCACCAGCCTCGATTCGTAATTCGTCGTCGTCATCGTTATGCAGTAGCATACTGCTATGCTGGTCGTCCTGAGCTTCAGCAGCTGAGTCACGCGAGCTGGGGCGTCGGATATAATGAATGTTGGTACGTATTGGTGTTGAAGTTCAACCAAGTCATTGAGGTTAGACTAAGGTGGTACGAATCAAAGTACTCGAGTGCCTTGAGCAAGAGTCACGCCTGAAAGAAAAAGAGCAAGTATCGAAGCCCCCCATGCAGAGAAAGTTAACAACTTGGTGTTAGACTACTTTTGTACGAGAATTTTCCTGCAGCAAGACGTTCTAAATAGAAGCTGCAGACATTCGAATATCCGTGCCGGTACCCCAGTTACCTTTGAAAGCATGGCTGGGCCCCTTTCTTTCTTCTATCCACCATCCAAACGCGTCCTCTCCGTATTTTTCATGACTAAGTCTACATCACATGTATCTTATATCTCATGCTCGGTAATTGCAACATCCATGTCTCCTCTTCAGTTTGAGAATATTATCATTTTCTTCGTGTTATATACCCACTGTCGTGCTAAATTAGAGGTGTTGCGTATAAACAATACGAGCGGGACCCCTGCCATGAAGTTAGAATAGATGAAATGAAGTTGCTGTTCATCTTGCCTTTTTTCTTTTCCCTGCACGATTGGAATGAGAGCGGAAACAAGCATTAATGTTAAAGATACACACCTTGTGCATCCAGGACACATACGCCCGCAGCTCCGTCAAACCGAAAAGCAAGACGACATCATAGTCAAGCTTGTAAAAAGTTCTTCCATCTTGACCACGTTGAGGTTTGAGTGTTTTTATCGCCTGATGAGTATTGGCGGTAATTGTACAAAGCACTTTGTACATAGCTGTTGTATCCACTTCAGCTTAATGTCGACATGTATGTCTACGGGTAGATATCTGACGAACCTTCATCGGTGTCCATCCAGCGCGGATCTTTCTTTGAACCTCGATAACAAACCACATCGTCGGATATGGACATCAGGTCCTGCAGAGTCTCTGAGTAGAGATGATAGGTATGCCGGAACTCCGTTGTCTCTGATACTAAAATACCCTGTCCAATTATTAGCATAGAAAGAGTAGCCATCCAGAGCGCAAACTTACCTTTGGAAGAATGACATCGAATTGATCTCCAAGAGATAACTCACCATTGGCGGCTACATATGCCTTGTCTGAACGCCGCCGATGCTCAAGCATTGACCTTTCGTAGGAAGTAAACTCTTTGCTGCCATAGGTATATCTTGACATCCTGGAATTCACCGCATGGTCAATATAGAAAGACACAGCACCATCAGCGACGGCTTTGTTACTAGAGAAGAAGCATCAGCCATTTACGCAGTCGGTAAAAAAGCGAAGGAGACGAACACATGGCTATCGGGCCGAGAAAGATTAATGCCGACAGATTGTAGGTGTGCCCGTAATTTGTCATAGAGGAAGTTGCTAGCAGCAAATCCGCCGACGAGGAAAACGGCCTGGCAGATAGAAAATTCATGTTCTAAGAGCATCAAAGTTGTAGATGACTACTAACCGATATGTCCTTGGGTGATGTCGAACGCTGATGGTTGACAGCTTGGATGATATCACTTATAGAAGGGCCGAAAAATCCGGCGACAGTGCTCCTATGATCCTATCGTCGAAAGAGTGACACGCTGGATCCAATTACAATCACGTACCCGGGCAATGCAAGCGTCCCTCCACGAACACCTAGAGCAGGGTAATTATCTCGAATGGTTCCAAACTGGATGTATGCAGGCTCCTCGGCATTCTTGAATCGCAACTTTGCCGTCTTGTCGAAGCAATCAGCAATGCTATTGGCCATCTCAGCGTAAACTGTTTCTTTTAATTTGTCTGAATGCACAATGATTAGACGTCTTCGATAGTAACCACACCATGAATCACCTCGAAGATATATCTGAGCTCGTCCAGTAACGAACATGGAGCCCGATAATTGACCTGCACAAAAGATGAGGAACTGCTGGAATTCTAACTTACTAACTCACACTGGGGGATAGCAATTTCTTCGAAACACCGGTTGCCTTCGGACACGCCAGCCCTGGAGTACGTACTAATATCAATGGTCCCGCCTCCAGCATCAACAATGACAACACCGTCTTCGTTCTAGTGAAAAATGAAATGAGAGAAAGTAATAACCATCTACGGACAAGCAGATTCATTACCGAGATATATCGTGAGAGACCTCTGTTTAAACAGAAATGAAGACTAGCTTCTCCTTCGGTGACGAAAGACACACGCGAATGATCTTGTTCATCATCGCTGATAAGTCTAGCACTAATCATAGCATCTCTCATTTTGCTCTGATGCTGTCCTTCCCAACCGTTTGGATGCGCGAGTATAAAGTGAATTCCGCCTTCCATACTGGACCATTCAGAAAGCGAGATGTGATGGGTTTCTTGTACAAATGACTTGGCGCAAGCGTATAAGTAGGCATAGAAATCGGAAAAGAGCGTTATGATCTCTTTATGAGGGGAGAGCGGCTGAAGATAAGCCGACGCTGTTTGAGGCCCCAGATGCAATTTGAATCTGCAAGGTTGGGTCAGAATATTGTCGCATTTTTTTTTATCTTTCGTAGACTCGCCCAGAGTATTTCTTCCACCCTTCTGTTTGGGCGGCTTCTTCTATAACTGGGTGCTGCGTCTCTGCGCCTACAGCTTTGAGTTTCCCAAGAGCATCGTAATACATGATCGTTGGTATCTTGGCATCGCTACCAGCGTCTTGGGAAGGGTATCTTGGGAGACAAATGTCAGCTTAAACAGCAAATCTAGGCATCCCGAACACACCGAGTCACTCCATTTATCTCTGGAACGACTCCAGGCTCAAGTATACTTCAAGTAGGCCATTATTAGTCGCGGAATAACTGGCATGTTACTAGAACAGCACCTGTATGAGATGCCACTGAATGTGGTTCCGAGATCAAAGGATATCACCAACTTTCGATGAACCCCGCTATAAGGTTTTCGTTGAGGAAAGGTGGTCGCCATGAATTACTACACCTGGGCAAGGGATGAGTGGGATCGTATCGAAAACGAGGGGATCCGTCCTGTGGAGATCCTTACATAAATAAAAAGAGTGCCATGGAAACATTGAAAAGTCGCGAAGCTGATGTTCGATCGGTTTGCAAGTGATGGTTGGAAGAAAGAAGCACGCCAGCGTTCGCCGAAGGATATGCCATGTCCAGAATTGGCCAAACGTCGGCCTTCGTTCTTAGATTATTATGATAAAGAAGGAGTATTGCCCAACTCTGATATGTTGTGATTCAAAAGAAGATAGGTCCCGCGTGGACATTTGGGAGCCGAAAACGTCGAAGCAAAGCCGCTTTTATCTGCTGACTCAACACCTTACTCACAAACCAACCACGTCCAAAAGTTATCATACACCTCACGGGGTACAAACTAGTAAGTATTATATACCGAGACGCGTTTCGATTTAATTAATGGAAATTTTTACTGTGCAGTTCAGATTGCAAATGGATCTCAGGCCTGCAACTCGGAGCCAGACAAATCCAGATCGTGGAAAGCCCCAGAATACTATCCTGTGCGCGAAGAAACCAAACATTAACAGCAAGAGGAATCTGAAAGCCAGTAGAGTTGAAAGCTCTGCTGTCTCTTCATTTGGCCATCAGAACACTGACCGTGCCCATTCTACCATGCTTTCTTCTGGGAGCAATCAGGACGCTGGCGAAAATACTACTGCCTCCTCCTTATTATCCGAAGTCCCTGAATCAGACGATCCCTTGAATGCACTGAGATCAACGAAACGGGGGCTATCAATACAGGCGGATAACGCGCTGCAAGATAACTATCGAATCCATGTCAAAGCCGACGTGTACTCTTGCATGGAGATAAAGGATATGCTGGAGTCCTTGAATTGTGATGTGATGCAGCTGGCGGCTTTGATGTCGGACAAGTTACGGTTCAAGCATTTATATGCAAAGACATTGGATGAGTTGAGGAAATTACATGATGCGGCGGAGAATGTGCAACGTATTCTGGGTCGACGCGTTACCGAGCTTCTCATGCGTAATATCACCAATGGCATGCAGAGTATCGTTGTCCAGACAGTTATCCATGCTGTCCTGGCCAAGACATGTCATAGGCTCATTCAGCGCTGGTGTATGTCTAACGAGGAACACAATGTTTTTGCCTTATCTTACAAGAAATTTCGAGCAACAAGTATGTACTTACATGGAGATGTTCATATATCATTGACTTACATTCAAATTCTCTCAGATTCTCTCGAGATGGCAGCTCAGTGGCGAGCCAAGACAAGGGAGATGACCAAATATGGTCCCCAGTCTGATTCTACCCGAAAATTTGCTCTTCGAGAGTTCATAGAAAATCTTCTGGATGTTCTCCACATCGCAGGATGGAAAAATTCTGCACCCAAGGAATGCATCGAGAAGCTGTTTGGTGATCGTATCAGAGAGCTTGTCGAGCTCACCATCCGGGTCGATAGAGCAATTATGGAGGGCGCCATGTCTCAGGATTTACACATCTTCATGCCAGCCCATGACAGCATATACGATCCAATCACGATGGTCGACATCCATAAAGATCCAAATGCCATCATGCCATCTGATAGAAACTCAGACTTAGTGGAGACGTGTATCAGTATCGGGCTGAAACTGCAGGAGAAACACTTGGAAAAAGGTCAAGCTAATGACACGGAGACTGCCGTTTCGAGGATAAAGGTCTTATTGAAGGCGAAAGTGGTTCTCAATATGGTTCTGGGTATTTGATGAGGATGTCGGAAAGAGAAGGCCTGTAGTATTCAGTATACAGGATATCCAAGCAATATCTGCTTGCCATTAAATTCTATTCATTTGAGTACAGCCATGGGAAAATGAAGTCAAATATCGATGACTCGGATGGCGAACGAACAGTAACGGTGCACGTGCATCGTGACAAAGGCGCGGAAGGCGTGACTGCGACAAGCAGTCTAGTCAGCTGTCTCTTCCATCTTGAATCGTCGACATCATTCCTTTGTGCTGCTGTTTCATAGCTGCTTCTTGTACCGCGAAAGATTAATATTGCTCAACATGCGACATTGGGACCAACTTCCTGCCTCTAGCGCCGCCGTTTCGACTGTATGACGGCACCCTCTACTGGAGAACCCAGATATAGAATTGCCGGAAGAAATACCGACGCCGGTGGGCGAGGACTCGTTTATGTATAAAAGGATACGGATCAGTATTCCATCTAGTCACCCTTGACCCCCAATTGAGTTCTCGAGTGATACCCTTCCTCTGGATTCCATACCGCTTCTATTACTCCCGGTATGCCGCTTACATTTTTTTTCACGTTGTGCATCCCTTAAATGCTTGAGCAGCAAGCGCTGTATCTTTCGATATGTTTAAGTTCCTGCGTCGCAAAGCGAAGGGGCGCAAAACAAATACAGGAGTCCAAGGATTCAGAGGGCCTGGCGGCCTCATGCCCAACCTTTTTCCAGTTCGTAAAGCCTCATCCAATGGCCTTGGGCTCGACCCCAGAAGCCTTCAGATAGCAACTCCCGGGGCGCCCTCATCCTCTCTTGACGCATCTCCCCAGACAATTCCCCTAGCAGCATTTCCTTCGCCTCTACCAGATTCCCCTACCAAGATCACGTCCATATCGGACATCGTCTTCGACAATGCTGCTTTCGACGCCCTCCTTGATTCGAGGAATGGGGGCAACTAGTAGGCATTACCGTTGAGAGGATATCGGAACCTCTGCCATAGAGAGAAGGAGATTGATCTGATTTTATGTGTAGTTTATGAGCATCGTCGTTCTCATGTTCACGAAATACTAATTTACGATACCAACCCTGTTAGTTCTTATTTTGGAACGCTTTGCATCGAAAAACCGATTTGACTAAATCGGCGATGTTCGGAGAAAATTGCCGTTGGCACTACTGATATTGACTCGAGCCCGTCCTCCTTCCTTCTCATGACCTTGCTGCCGACTTTTTCATTCTTGTACCACAGATGGCTGATATTTTCTGCTCTTTGGAGGCCCTGCGCCTCGTAATCAAGACCTACTGTCATCCATACGACTACACTGGTTTTGCTCCGTGGTCATGAAGTCAAGGAATTCTCATCCGGACGCTACCTGAAGTAAGATTCATGATCACACAACTTGTAATTGCCCCGTATTTACTCTAATGTTTCAGATGGATACGTATCAAAATCAAAACATTTAGATCATGTGCGCTTTGTTGAATCTATCCACCCAATAGAATATCTTGGGAATGACTGGATCACTGTTGTTGACCAACGTTCTGGAAGAAGAGCTGGCGCTGCTGTCGCCTGTGTTGGTGCGCCGAATCGTGTCACATTGACTATACACGTATTGATTGTTCGGGTATGACCTGCCTTGGTCGTGTTCAGCAGCCTGGATATTTGCGCGCTCGGTGGGGATGGCGGCGTACTGATGCTGGAGAGCAGGCTGGATATGTTCCCACTGAGCCATCCCGAACGTTGTATGGTCGAGGATGATGCTGTTGTTGAACGGATCTGTAAGAACGGGTCGGCCTCCATTCGCATTCTCCGAGTACGACCCCCTGTCCGACGGCCTCTGGTCTACAATCGGTCCGTCGTCGGCAAAGGGGTTGAATCTGACTGAGGGTGGCACCTTGTGGGATCCGCCGACTAAGTGGTGCCCGTAATGGTTTGGAATCGCGACATCCTTGGTCTGCGGAGGGAAAGCGGTGCCTTGTGGATTATGGCCGCTGAAGGGATTGAAAGTAGTTGTTGTGTAACCAAGCGCAGCGTGGTCAATAGGGAGATCGTGGAAGGATGTTTCGCTTGCAGGTGGCTTGTTGTCAACGAAATGGAAGGCCCGCATTGGCCCATAGCTAGGAATGGCAAGGTCTTTGCGGTCACCGCCACTCAATACGGGGCGGTCGCTCGACGCGAAGGCGCCACTATTGGTATCGATGGCATGCGGAAGCTTCAGTGGCGGTTGGCATCCGGAGTCGAGTTGAGGGTATAGGATAATTTCGTCCACGTCGGGGTGGTCTTTGGGGATCGGACACCCGTCGGCGAAGTACTCAATGGGCGGGTGGCGCTGCTGGCGTTCCCGCAGCTTGCGCTTCAACCTCCGAAGCATCCTCTGAAAGAGCCTTTCGATCTCGACGGTTGAGATCTATTTCGAATGAGGAGCTGAGCGCGAATGATGGACAAGCTAGCTTACCAATTCCAATGGCTCAGGAGGCTCCTCATCTGTCTCGAATCGCGTTTGTGCCTCCATCGCGGATGCCGAGGGTATCCGGCCATGGCCCGCGATCGCGCGTGCAACCGCCCAAGAATCAGTGGATCGCGTCTCAATATGTTCCGGAATGCGCGTCTTGAAAACGCTCAGCCGTATCGGTGGGAGTGAAGACAATGTCGCTTACCACTGCGCCACCAAAATCCTTCATGATCTTGATTTCCAGCTTCCGGAGATTTTCGTTGAGCATCTGCGACCCACGGTCAGCGCGGGTGGCGGGGCCAACAAGCGCCTACTCACCATCTCTGACGTCGAGCCTTCGAAAAAAAGGTTCAAATTTGCTACCATTGACATGTATGAGAGGGTGAGGCTCAAGACAGACGTGCAGAGGTGGAAAAGAGTGAAGAGAAGACGAGGTACGATGAGCAGCTTATAAATGCACCTTCAATATGCTGATGGATAAGTATAGCGTTATTTGAGTACATTGTTTGTGCAGACTATTTCCTGGTTTGGCTTTACGACGCCTGCCACAACCCACAACAACACGGCCGGTCACTAAGTAATGTCCAATGTCCATTGTGCATCCGGAGGATTGTTTGGTAACGTATATGTTCTAGTCGCTCGCCGTTCGCTTTCTTAGCTCCAGGACGCGTTGAAGGATGGATAACGGAGCACGAGCTGGGACACGTTGCTCTACTGCAGGCTCATACCCACTGCTCAAGCCTCCACCATGGCTGATAAGTGTGTGCACCTGAGTACGCCTTTTATTTCGATGTCTTTACCCATTTCCTTGTTGTTGTTTTTTTCTTTGAATTATTTCAGGACATGCCACTGGCAGGCCGAAGTTTCTTTTCGCACATCCTGTAGCTCTCATATGTCTTCTTTCGACAAGCATATAGTTGTTCGAACGGATTCGTCTTGATTCCCGGGTTTCGTCACCTACCGCCTCTCAGGTTGCAGGTGCAAGTTTTGAGAAGACAATGGCACAACGAGGGCTTTACGAGTGTTCCTTGGTTCTATCAACATTCCTGAACAAATCGGCGATCACTCAGAGCAGTCGGTCTCAATAGCACTTATGATCTGATGACTGCTTTGCGATTTTGGCGCCAAGATGTTAACCGGTGGATCTATCTGTCCTTGTTGTAGGAGGTATGTCATATCTGAGGTACCTTGGAGGGCTTGAGGACTCTTATCATCAACGACTTTCAGGTTTTTTTTGTATCTGCGTACGCCTTGGTTCTCACCAATGGCTTATATCGATCTCGAGCCATTTATCTACGTCGAAGTAACTGGGTGGCGGCCTTATGAAGAATGCTATGGTGACCTCAAAACAACGATCGAACAGCATATAACGCTATTGTTCTTGAAGACCCTGAGAGCGAGTACCGACGGTTGTTTTAAAAGGTGATGATCTGGTCAATTACATATTGTATGATCAAAGCTCACACCGGCTGAGTAGGTTATTCCAGTGACAAAGCAACATGAGCGCTAATTGTCATAGAGGACTGATGCAAGACCGCGCTTCGTGATTGAGGATGCTGATGATGGATGTGAAACCGATGGGGGAGTAGATGCACAGGCAACCGGCGTAACAAGGACCTACTAATGAGATCTCGGAGAGAAGCGCAAGGAAAACGTACCAGCGCTGAACCAGTCCGATGTGCCGTAACTCGGGTTTCAGTCGGCGGCAATCGAGCCCGAAAATAACGACGATGGGTGCCCCAGCACCGATGCTCCCGTTGGGCGCGGGTGCTTGCACAGTTCGAGACCACTTGTGGAGACCGGTCTCTCTTCTAGTGTAACGAAGCCATCAAGTGCTAGAGCGGCGGTCCAGCGCTACCATAGCTGTGACTCGGGAACCGGAACTCTCAGATGGGATCACCTATATTATGGGAACGGGACGGATATGCATTGTTCGGCTGTGTCTGCATATAAAAGGACTAGTGGGACCTGGGTGAGGGATTCACCCGTATATCCTTCCAATCGAGAGGCCTAAGGCTTGAAGCCCTCCCGTTATACCTTTCGTTCTGTAAATCCCACCTCCCTGTCTTATCCATGTATGTTGTTGACACAGGTCTCTATCCTCCTCATGCTGACATCTCAGCCACAGTATGCCTCTCGAATTCTGTCGCCGCAGGCACACAACGCATCACAACGAAGCAGCGAACGTTGACGCCATGCCGCCACATCCCGTGCTCAGTCCTACGCCTGCTAGCCCAACGATATCTGAACTTGCGCTGGACCCAAAGTCATTCCAAAGGATGATCTCGCCGACTTTTTCGTCAGACTCGGCCCAGTCGTCTGCAAAGTCTTTGACAGATCTCGTCCTCGACAACGATATCTATGATGCCATATTGGCATCGAGCATGAAACATGCTAAGCTTTCCATAGAGTCTAATAATTTAATGCCTCCTCCTTCGAGCGCATTGTTGGCGCCGCCGAATACTCCTGCTGTTGCGGAGGAAAGGAAGAATTGATTATGACTCGGACGGTTTCAGGATAGACGAATTGGCTAGTATCATGATACCGTACAATTGACCAAGACTATAATACATCTTTGTAGCTAATCATCGTTTCGACCTTGTCTGTAGAATACCGTTTTGGAAAATTTCTGTATAAATCGTCATGATGAAAAATCTGACGTGATCGGACAAAATGCTTTCAATTCGTCATAATTGCTGGTTGGTGTGACCTTCCGTGATCTCGTCGTCGTCGTCGCCACGCTCCTTTGCCTCTCCTCTTATTGACGGTCAATGCTCTCAAGAATGCTCGCCCTTAGGCTGCCTCAAAGAGTCAAGAAGAGTCGGCAGCAACTGTAGGCTGACGAGAATTGTTGTTGACGTCGGCTATGCTGGACGGCGCTCATTCAAGTATGTGCCAGTGATTGTTGAAATTTAACTATTTAATGCTCATGATGAATACAGGTGTGATATCTACGCGCATCCTTGTCAAGGCCTTGATGTGGCGTCTGTTGCCTGTCACTGCGGATGGGCAGCGGGCCTCTTCGACCTCGACATATGCGCCTCCAACTTGCTCCGAATTGACTATATGTGAATCAAACGGGGCGATAGTGCTCAACGCCCCCCGCTAGTGAACGCACCGTCCTCCAACGTAGCACGCGGCGGCGGGGATAAACAATGACCTCCTCGTCCGAGGGCTGTCCGTAGCTTGTGGCAGGATCGCGAGCCTTGTATTCCTCTCTGAATTCTTTGAAGAGTTTTTCAATCTCTGAAAACGAGATCTGTGAAGGGGTTAGTCACAGAGTACGGGGTCTGGGTTGTCTTCACCATTTGCGGGGGCCAAGATTCTGCGTTCTGTGGCACAAGTGTCGTGGGTTGTGGGCGTAAAGAAGGGGATTCGATGCTTGTATTCGACTTGTCTGATGTCGTCTTCTTTACGCCGTGTCGAAAACGGTGGGGTCGGACTCGCTTGTGGATCACGGATGTTAACATAAGGACGACGGATACTGAGGCCTTCCACGCTGGATGAGTTCGAGCAAGATAGCGATGAGGTTATGATGCCGCTTTGTTCGCGTCGTTCCTTTCTTCAATAATGACACGCTTGGTGCCACTCCTTGAATAAAGCTCCCCTTTTCCCTTGGCGTAATGCGTCTCTTTCTGTTCTGGTCATCCTGTCTCTCTCGTCTCTGTTCTTCAGACACAGAAGCAACATCCCTAATCTACAAATGTCCTTGAAACCTACGAAAGGGTTGCACCATCGCTATTCCATTCAAACTACTTCATGCGCGCCAGTTCCATTATCTTGTCGCATGCCATGACCTGCCCAGAGTACTTTCGAGTGTCCTCAGCCAGAGATTTTGCCGCGGCTCGGAACCGTGCAGCTTCATCACCTTCGCCGACTATCCTAATAAGAGCGCGTACAAGCTCAGAAGCTTCTACTCCTGGCGCAGATTTCTTATTACCATAAACACCGATTCCGAGCCATTCAACGCGCGCTGCATAATCTTTTCTTTCAATTAGATTCCATTTCGAAGCCGATAGCTCACCATAACAATCGTACCACATTGGCAGAAGTACTTGAGGGATACCGGTGCTAAAACATGGTCAGAAGAGTTAGATTATCGATGAACTAAAGAAGACGTACTGAATTCCCTCATAGACACTGTTCGCCCCGCCATGATTGACAGTGCAGACGACATTGGGATGCCTGAGGATGGCTAATGGTTCAACGTCTAGCCAGTCAACAATTCTCACCCTCGCGCTCCCCTTCTCCGTATAATTCCCTAGAATATCATGCAAGGACGCCTTTACGTCGTCCTGTGCTTTGAGCTTCCAGATAACTTGAACGTGGTGGTCGTAATCGAGCAGGATGCGTAGAGCTGTCGCAAGTTGACAGGCATTGTTCTCATCATAGACGGCGTGTGTTCCTAAGTTGACAAGAATAGTCGGTTTACTGTCAAGCCAACTGGCTAGCTCCGGGTCTCTGTCTTTCACTGGGACTGCTGGAATAAGGATAGGACCGCACAACGTCACATTGTCCGGAATGACACAAGGGAAATCGGTTTTGGGGGTGGCAGGACACAGATAATGTGCATCGGCGATGTATGGTTCGAACATAGGGATGGTGTTATTGAGACCAAGCTTCTGACGGTATTGCACGAGTTCCTGGATTTTCGGGGAAGAGAACATGAAGTAGACCATGGCGCAGGTGAGAAAGGTATTCTTCGGGATGTGGTACCACGACATGGGGTACGGGATACCGGATGACATGACCGGATACTTCCAGAATATCGATCCGTACGGCTGGATACGGCCGATGATGTCCTATATATCACAGCCATTTATTAGAGTGCGACTGGTATCAAATGAAGGTGAGCCTTACCTTGGGTGCATTTGGCGTCATGATAATGAATTTCAGATCCAAGAAACGACATGCATCTATAGCTTGACTCAGGAAGTATTCAATCACGATCCCATGTGCGTTGAGATCCTGGATGATCTCGACGCAGCTGTCATACAGTTCCATGTACTCTGGACCAGACCATTCGGCAACATAGTACGGTAGACGCCTAAAACTCCGGAGAGCGCCAGAGATACTGGGTGCATGGGTGGGAGTGTTGGTTCCGATTCTGCGTATCCGAGCCTCTTTTAGAGATATTCCCCTGAGGGGATGGAAGTAGACTCGCGCCGTGCTGCCAGTCGCATGGATACGTTCCTGCAGCTCCTTGATACGGTGTGAAAGCACTTTCAAATCAGTGTCAGCGAATAATGAATATCTAGCGAATGAACTCAAGGTACCGGGAAAAGATGCAATGTGTACTTCAACGTCTGGACGAAGACAGAGCTCGTGAGCGACCGAGAGAATGATGTTGGCTTGTCCGTATTCGCTGTTCGTGAAGAACAAAATTTTTCTGGGAGTCGAGACCGTAATCATGATAAGTACAGGAGGGTGGGGATCCACTGCTGGCTCACCGTTTTCGGTCAACGCAATTTATCGCGGAAATGTCTGATAAATTATATGCAAGTCGGACGCCATATTCAGGAGGCTCGAGCCTGACCTTAACTGCGCAGCACCTGCAAGAGGAGAACGTTCCAAATCAAGACTCGGGCGCTCAACAGTCGCATGATGCCCATGGAGGACGATACGCCTGTCAGAGAAATCATGTCACTTTAAATGCATACTGCTCGCTCTCGGTCTTTTTAGCATTATGTCTGTTTAATAACGGCTCATTTACGGCCGGATGCACAAATGTTTGCGTGACGACGTACCTCCAAGGACTCTTTTTTAAGCCCATTGGCAACACCGCCAAGAAGTGAAGAAGGACGGTAAGTTTATTTATTCTCAGAGCCTAATTGCGGATGCCCACCTCGAGTCTGGGGATCTTCAAGGAAGATGAGATGCCTGCAGTTAGTGCCCTAAAAATGTTTGGTTGTCAAGTGTCGACAGGTCAGGAACTCGCTCGATGGGGAAAGAGGAAGCTAGGCCCAAGGGATGGAGAGAAATGTCGACGACGAATAGACAGAAAATAGAAGCGGGAGGGTGTGTTGCCAGTCGTTTCCGCACCCATCATATATGCTACAAAAAGGAACGTGACACAGATCTGCTCGACTTTCCTAGCCTTGACTTCGCTGCGAAAATTGAAATATTAGTTTGAAAGTAAGGAATTTAAGTATTTCTAAATGCAGAAGCAAGAGGCAAAGAGAATGGAGAAGAAGCAGGCTTTAGTTTGCCGGTCAGTGCTGTGAAGGACTGCACGGCTTAATTAGATTCCGTTCTTTACTCTGTTATTCAATACCGCTTACATGGTGAGGTGGCCGAGCGGTCTAAGGCGCCAGACTAAGGTTGCGCGTTCTACTGGGCCAACTCAGTTTCTGAGTTTGCAAATCTGGTCCGAAAGGGCGTGGGTTCGAATCCCACCCTCATCAGTTGTTTTTTTCATTTGATTCTTTTAGTTAGGCTACTAGCAATTAGCGAATAAGAGGCAAGTCGTAATTCGTTATTGACGATGCCTGACCTATGTGTTGTTGATTTCGAAATTTCTCATTCCTTCTAGTGACTTCTCCCAGCAAAGCTGCTGTTTCATTAATTTATCTGTAAGCAGTCAGACACAAACCTACCTATGCATCAAGACCTACCCGGGCGCGTTTCTCCTTCATTGTTAAACCGGCGCATACAACGACTTCATGATTTTATATTACCAACAGCAGCGTTCATCCCGGTGTAGTGGCAATAGCTTTAAAGAAGGCTGTCGGCATCAGACACGGTGTCTGAAGTAAAAAGCAGCGAAGACTACCTACAATTACTAAGTATACTAGTTGTACATTAAGATAAGGTCATAATGGTCGTGATGTGATAGAGTAATTACCACACGCTGGGTGTGTAGAAAATAATCAAGAAACGAATGGCTATAGTATAAGTAGAAATGTTTCAAAATCAACCCGAAGAAAGTCATCATAAAAGTTCCACCCTGCGATCCCCCAAAGCTCCCTGTTGTGACTGTCCAAAACGACGCAAGCCATTACCCACCGTCGTCGTGCCCACCACGCCTGTCAAAGGCGACACGAGCTCCGCTTGCTTTGCATGAGCCCAATGCGCATAGTACGGATGTCTGGTGACTACCCTGCGCCGAGGACCGGAGCGGTAACGCAAGAAGTAGTCTCGAAATAACTCGAGGTTGAGCTGGTTGGCGAGCTGTTTCCATCCATCATATCGAGAACGTTCTGCGAGAACGTCATCGACGTCCTCGGAAAAAGGGTCGAATTCGAATGGGGGGGCCTCTGTCGCGCCGGGGACGACGGTGAGAACAGTGTCGGACATGGAATCATCGTAGTCCTCCATGTGAAATGCAGTCAGGAGGGGGGATGTGCCAGGACTGTAATACGTGGTATCGTTAGAAGAGATAGAGGAGCGTGCATCGAACAAATCTTCGTTGTCCGTGACGTCGGTCATACTTTCGTCATCGTGAAAAGGAGCGGAGGGCTCTCCGGAGAGCGATAAAGAGTCGGAAGAGGGAGGCGGGGTCATGAGGTGGTCACAGTTGGCATTAAGCTCCTCCATGGTCTTCCTAATACGCCGTAGATTCATTTCCAGAATCTGTCGAGTTCGATATAAGCTAAACGATCAACGTTCACATTCCAGACACTCGCCATTATCTCTCGTACACGGGGAACGCGAGATATTTGTACGTCTTCTGAAAATTGGAAGTGGCTGTAGGTGGAGTTCATGATCACGGTCAACGCGATGAAAAGAAATGAAGGATTAATCAAGCAAGCTCGGGATGCGAGGTGGAAGGAAAGGAAAGATGGATTTTCTGTCACAATCCCCTGTATATGTATCACGAAGAATAAAGGAACCGCATTAAGCACAGTTCCTTTGTACTACTTTCCTTTGTGCTGCTGATTTGGAAATCCGCATCCGCATCAGTCGTAACTAGAATTTGAAATGCGCTTTTCATGCGCGAGCGCATCAAGAATTGCCGAATAATGTGCTGTACAATGCTGTTGTGATACAAAGGCGGCCCGCTACACCCTCTTGATAGTTACAATCTAGCAATATACACATCAATTATACGCAGTAATACGTTCGCATATGGTAAGCGTGTCAAAACCTAAATGAACCTCAAAATTGGTGCCAGTGTACAGGATATTTTTACCTTCTAATAAAACATGCATAAGAAATTAAAAAAAGGTATCAAGAATGTCAAACGTCCATACAAATAGTCCTGAAAGTTTTATGATGATTCCGAGTCCGAAGTCCCAGGAGTAAAATGAGTGACGCAACAATGGTACAGATGGTGACGACGATGAATGAACAGCATAGTGTCGTGGTCGGTAAGTCAGGGAGCGGGTTCTGGGTCGGGGTTAAACGGCATAGCATCATCTTCCTCTTCTTCCTCCAAGATTGGGGAGTCGATTTCCTCGTCATCCGCATCAGCCTCTGCGTCAGGGTCGGCCTCATCAAAAATGGCATGGAACTGGAAAGATATCAAATTATGATCAGTGGCGAAGAGGAGCAGTTGATGGAGGATTATTACATGTGTAATGAGCGCCTTGACGAGTTTATTGGTATGACCCATGTTAGCTAGAAGCATCGTGAAGTCGCTTTTGGGAGGGCGCAGCAGGTTGGGGCTGAAAACGATGGACAGTGCTTCTGCCGTCATTTGGTTGTACTCTTCAAAGTCAGTGACTCTGTATGCGCTAATGAGTAAGAGAGAAACACATAAAAAGAATCGTAATACACACTTGTCGAGGTGCTCTGACACGCGTTTTAGAAGGTCAAAATTTGCTTGTGGCAGGCTCTGAACGATGCGTTGTATCGCTGAGAGTCGAGCGTCCAGATCCTCGAGCTCTGTATGACGGAATTAATCAGATGGCGAAACGAGGGAACGTGGGAAACCGCACTTGTGGCTTCAATAATCTCGAAGTAAGACGCGGCAGGGAAGACAGGCTCTGGAAGCAACCGAAACCATGACTTCACAAGATCACATACAGCATGTATATCCGTCGAACTGGTAATCGGACTTTGTCCTACAAAGGAAACGGTTCAAAGAACGTTCTATCTTCGAAGCAGTTCTTCCTACCTCGATTGTAAGCGTCACGGAGACTGTTGATCTCAGAGGTAGCACCGGCGATGCGATCTAGAGAATACGGTCAGTACGGGACGAGTGCTGCATGCGCCTGATGCTCACAAATGCCAACTTCAGTCAAACCACGGCTTTCGATCTCTGAGAGACACTGCTCTATGACTTTTGGCAGAGCGCCATAGGGAACGTCCCCCCCTTGAGCTTCTCGCTCCAGCAGGATTTGGGGGTCAACGCCAAAGACTGTCATCAGATGTAAGGAAGGGTAGGGTAGTAGCACATGCACGAATATTGGCTTACCAGCATTAGGGTCTCTTGACGGTGCTGAAGATCCTGCCCTGAGATCCGACAATTCGGGCTTGGGTGAACTGCCGATATACGTAAGTCGACGTTTAGCCGCCATTTTCGTCACTCGATTGATAGTCTCCAACCACTTCGCCATATCCCGCTTGTTCATCGCCTGCAGAAGATAATGGCCCCCGTCTTCAGTATCGACCCGGAACATATACGAACGCTCGTTATTGATGAACTGAGCCACACGCGCATCGACCAAGCTGAGCACCAAAGCTGGCTTCCCCGTGGGAGTGAAGTCGAGCTCTGAGACAGTCCGTTTCAAATCGGGACCGTGCGTAGGTTCGTTGCCAAAGGCACTGGATATTGGCCGCATAAAATGCAGAAATGCAGACATGCTTTTCTTGTTACGGTGCTGTTTCGTTGGAGTACCGGGTCGCTTTCGTGGTCGCATGGCTTTATTAAGCATGTCTTCGCGTTTCTCGTTCCTTGACTGCTCGTGAAGTTTCTCCTTTTGAAGCCTACTCCGCCAATTACGATCACGTCTGACCTTGTCCATCTGGATTAGTGCTATGCGCTGAAAGGGACGAGACAGCCTCCTCGTTGACGGCGGACCGTTGGGGTTCCCATGTACACCTTCGCGTTGGCCTTCATCCCTGATCCCTCGATGATCAAATTGCAGGGTCGAAACTTCTCGTTCGATGTTATTCAAACGTTCAAAGCCACGGCGCGCTATATCGCCACGTTCCCGGGAAGAGTGAAGTGGAGGTGTGTTGGCGATCAGCTTGCACAAGTGCCTAGGTGACGAAAAATCAAGCACCTGTCTGGCTGTGGGTAAAATGACTCACCTTCGTTTATCGAAGTTGACTAGGCTCTGACCATCTTGGCTTGGCTCTACTACATCAGGTGTCGATATAACGTCAAGAAGCCGTTCTATGACCCAACCCATATCAACTGTTAACGCATCCTTTGATCCTACAGACTGGCTAGATGACCGTGACAGTAGAGATGACAGAGAATCACAATGCGTGTTGCGGCTGGCTGCCACGTTTTGCCAGGCCCTGTGGTGCATTCGACTCTCAACGCTCAACACTGCAGACGACACCACAGCTTCGACAAATGAACGAACACAGGGTTGGTCAATCAGCCTCGATTTCGTACTCTTTTCTGTATTCCGTATACGGCTGATTTCAATGGTCCGGAGCAGCAACTCCATCCGGGCTTGGCGAGCTTGTAGTCCCAATCGTGGCGCCACAATTTTTGATATCAGCCATTTGCGTAAGATGGCATACGCCCTGATACAACTGCGAATGCCGGGAGGAAGAAGTCGATATAAGGAATCTTGGCCGAGTTCCGATATCAGAAGTGAGGGTTCGACCTCTTGGATGTGAGAATAAATGGTCTGAATTTCAATACTATCCTCAGCCGTGGGGCCTTCTTTAGACGAAAACCAGCCCGTTCGGTCAACGCTTTGAACTTCGAGTAGGTCAGATGTGATGTAAAGATCCTAATTACAGATCTGTTTTCAGCGTCAGAAACTGAAACATCAGGGAGAATATATACCTCTTCCGTAACATTGCTAAACGTCGCACATGCCATGCCGTCAAGGATGTCTACAAGCTCTTCAGCATTTAGTCGATCAATATCAGCGGATTCCCTAGCGCTCATGTTCCGCACACGGACAATGCTTGGTGATGGAAGGATAGTCGACGTTCGTGAAGAAGGGCGCATCGACTGACTTCGGAAGTTACGGTGAAGAGACTGCCTCATCTCACGTAATGACGACATAGACTGCTTCAGACTAGCCTCTCCTTCAAGGTCCGCGGGAACACGAAAAACGTGATCGTCAGGACTGTCCAAAAAAGACTGCAGGCTTTGCAGTAACTGCGGGTCATCCAAAATATCCTGGGCGCCACCTCCCCCGGTTACCCACTCCAGCATCGTCTCAAGCACCTCAGCACGAACATTGGCTTTCGACAAATATTCGGATAATCGTGGTGGTGAACTTCGCGGCTGGGCCTTGATGTACATCTTTCGTAGCAACTTTCAAAAGAAGAAAAGTTAGAGCCAGGGAAGAAAAGGAAGAGAAGTACGCCTTTAGACTCACTTCGAAGAACACCAGGGGCGTAACAAAACTACGAAACACGTTCCACCATACTTTGGAAAACTCCTTTCGATCGACTACAAGTTCTCGAGTACCTTCGCGCAAAGACATCTCGCCGTTATCGTCGGCAACAGAGACACATATATTCTTCAGTCCATGAACCAAAATATCAACAAGATTGTTCAGTGTTCCCGCCTGTACGAGAGCTCGTAATGGTCTGTCTGTTGATGTCTCCGACGTCACATATGTCGGACGGTTGGAGAGGGCTGGAAGTGAGCTTCGTCGTGCCATGCTGCTTTTACGGTCTAGAACCTGTGATGAACCCGGTTTGACTCTTATTGACGGTGTACGTCCTGGAGGCTTCTCAGAGAGGTCTGTGATACTGGAACTCGGCGGTCGCGAGAGTGCGCGAGAAGAGCGACGAGAGCTCGGTACGGAATCATTACTACCTTGGACTACGAGAAGGAGATCCCCGTTGTGGACCGGGATTATTGTACCCCCAAGGCTCAATGATGCAAGCACACCGGCAGTTGGACCATATGGTGGTGCTCGGCGTTCTTCTTGCCGTAGACGACCATCGACAGCACGGACAGCGTGGATATCTGTTGCCGCATCACTGTCTAGTCGTCCGCGTAATGCAAGGCCCCGGTCAACAAGGCATACCGTGGGAAGTGGTTCAGGGAAAACCAGGGGTAATAAGGACACATTGGGGGGATAATTCGAAGGTGGCCGGGACCAAAAGTGCGGCTCGAACAAGCCTTTCCGTCGAGGTTCCGCCGCTAATGAAAGTGACATGAATTGGTCGATTCTGTCATGGGAAACAATAAGTTCGAAATAGGATCGGAGCGAACGTATATAACATACCGAGCAAACTTGACGCCGAGACCACCACCCCCACCTCCCTCCATGAACATCTCGCGCCAGTATGTCACCAGCTTCTTGACATCTTCACTGACTTCGTCGTCTGATAGAACTGTCTTCCTAGGGCATAGGGAAAACACAGTTCTATATGTCTCAAACCACTTGCGAATGGTATCCATAGGCTGAGTCCTCAGCATCTCATCAGGCCCCTCATCCTTCACCTTGTCCATCTGCGTCTTCACCCGACTCCTCAAATCCCCTCCCCATGGTGTCGTTGTTGGTTCTTGCACACCAATAAAAGCACCGTCGTCATCCGGGTACGCCCACGCTTCCACAGCAGCAACAGCCGAGGCTTCCACCCTCTTCCACACCTTCTCTAGCCGTGCGACCGGTGCACAGCAAACGGCAGCCTTGATCGCTTCCCAGGTACACGCATCACCACCCACCCTGCAGATCTCTGCTACGCGAACCCACACGGAAATTAACTCTGAGCGAGAATGTGTACGCGATGTACGCTCTTCTGACTTGCGATGGGGAGAAGAAAGATGAGGAGAGCCCACGTAACCACTAGACGTATCCGCTCCTAGGATCTGCATCAGCAACAGCTTTGTGAGCCAATGAGGGCGGTCGTCGCTGCCGAACAGTGCGCCAAAATATGCGTCTGATGTCTTCGAATCAGAGGATAGCTCAATGTGCCCGAGAATGTAATCTGCAATCAAGTTCTGCGGGGCGCTCTGGAGAGCACTGCGATGAAATAGAGTAAGAGTACGTGCTATAAGGTGGGGGTCAAGAGATAAGAAAACATCTCGTGATAGTCCCTCTCGATCAAGAGCGGTGACCCAAGACGCTTGTGGTGGCGTTTTCGGGGAAAAAGGCGGATGTAAAGTCTGATTTTCCAATGTTCTGATATCAGTCGATATTCCTTTCCATGATGGGACAGGTGACGGAGGAGAGTCATATGTAGTCAGTAGATCCATTAATGAAGGCTTCGATGGTTCTTCAGGCCTCGGAGAGAAGACGCCTAAATTGGGGGAAGCAACGTTCGGCATACTGGGGGAATGAACTGGATTTGGGGATCCGACGGGAGAGGGGACGTAGAGAGCCTGCATTGAGGTCGAAGTGGTAAGAGTACCAGATGTCGGTCTTACTACAGCAGAAGATGCCCCTGGAATGGTATCGGCTCTCCATTCTTCCCAAGAAGAAAAGTCTGCGGGCACTCCGTGGTACCTCAAATACTCACCAGCCAACCATGCGACTCTCGAACGCAAATCTTCCTTCGCAGCATCCTCCGCCCCAGATATAAGGTACTCAGTACACCGCAAGAACTCGGCTTCATACTTCGCCTGACCAGCGAGCACTGGAAGACAGAGAAGATTGGCCGAGGCAAAATCCTTCCATTTTTCCTGCTCGGCGGACGCATCATTGATAAAGAAGGTGGTACCAAAGACGCATTCATGGACTAGCGCCTCGAAGGTTCCCTTCTGAATGGTTCCACTGTCATCCAGCGAGAGGTCAGGATGCGTTCTCCTTCCCCAGTACGCCCTCTTCTTCCGGGGGAGCAGGCCGTCAGCTTTACGCAAACGTTCGTTTCCACCGGTGTCTAACCCGCTCTCCTTGCCTTCGAGTTCCAACTCTTCCATCTCTTCTTGACTTGGAGGTACCAACACTGTCGGAAAGAGATCCTTGATGGCCGCACTTCTGTCACCCGAAGGCTTGTAAAAGTACAGCTTGGAGCCCTTCAACTCGAGCTTGAACGGTTTCCATCCCTTGGACAATGCCACGTGTGAATTCTGGAGGTTGCGCGGTACATCCGCGAGGCGATTTATTAACCCCTTGTGGTATACAATCTGCGAAGCCCGCTTAGTAACCTCAGCTTCGGTCTGGTCGTCAATTTCGGGTTCAACAGTGGTGGTAGGGGATAAGAATGCATTGGCGCGCGATGCGGTGGTAGCAGGTACCGAGGAAGGGCCAGGTTCAGGCTGTATTGGTCTTGAGTGAGCCCCAAAACCAAAAGGAAATGCACCTTTGCCATCGAGTTCGCCCGAACCTTTACGTTTTGGGCTGGGAGGGAATCTAGGGGAAGCCAATTTAGACGATAATTTAGGTGTGAAAGAATGAGAGCGCGTATGAACGTGCACAGGAGGGGGTTGCCTGGAAGGAATGGTAGATTCTTCACCGCTGGGCGAGGAAACGGAAATGGTTACGGGCGTCAGAATGGGGGCACTGGAAGGTGATTGTTCCGGAGGAACGCTGGTGACGATAGTAGGAAAAGGCTGACGTCCTGTCTGACTGCTTGCGACATGCTGCTGCGGCTGTTGTTGCTCAGTCTTTCCGCCGCTGCTTCTGTTGCGATATTGGGCGACCTTGTCCTGGAATACAGCACTGACAGGAGACTCAGCGACGGCAGACATGCTCCCCAAGTCGTCAGCAGAGCGCGACCATGCTTTTCGGGAGATACTTCGCAGGTCACCGAGACCAGTCGAGGAGACGATGGGGGTAGACGGCGAGCTTGGAGGGTGAAAGGGGGATATGTCAAGTGAATTCGGCGGTCGTACCGAGAGATCTAGCACAGACCTAAGGCGGCAAAAAAGCGTCAACGGCGACCAAATGAATAATGATAAGCGACTCACCTGGCGTTAGAACCAGCATACCCGTCCAATATTGGTCTCGGATCAGTGGGGTGGGAAATTTTGTGCTTTCTAGCCGACGAATTGCTCGCCCTAGGCTCTGTTGAGCTACCAGAGCTTGACTTTGGAGAGGAAACGCTGCGTCCGAACCATTTCGAAGGCTTGGAAAGGAACTGGGTGATGCCTGCGGTAGGCGAATTGGAACGAAGGGATGCAGGACCGTTCGATGAGGACGAATCCTGGGGACTCAATGTATTGGAAGACGGAGCACCGCGTCGTGGCATTCGGCCGGAAAGAATGAAATTTTTGTGTGTCTGTAGGCGTCGTTTCTAGTCGTCGTGGTCGTCCTGTAGCAGGGGAATCAATAGTCAGGCCACGACATCATGCAATAGCAAAAGTCGCGCACCAGCAGCAGTTGTCCGTACTTAGTATCGCTATTTCCTGACTGCCGCGCTGTGGTCGAACGAAATGTGCATGAAAGTAATAAAGCAAGACGCGTACGACGTTGTCGACGGTGGAAGAGTTGGGTTTGTTTGCGTCCCCTTTGATGCCAAATTGAAATTATGCCATTCTTGGCCTTCTACTCCCGTGATAAGTAATGGTTACTTATCTGATCTCAGGACGCCGTGAAGGCTCGGATATAAAAATTCCAGGGGAATTCTAGTGAAAACGGGGAAATCTAATGGAAGGCACACGTCCGGATACTTTTGGGGGCGGCCAAACCTGTTGGGTGCATTCCCTGAGGTTTGCGCCTAGCCTTCAGTAAGATTTAAGTTTTTCTGCACAAATCTGCGCATCTGGATTCCAGACGGTAGAAGCCATTCTCTGTCTTCTGTGTCAGTTGATGATGATTTTAGATTTAAGAGCATATGCAAATCGTATTCGGCGGCCTATTATCCCCTTGGTTGATTCACCCCGGAATGTTCTTGCTCGGACTAAATAACTTCCAAAGATATACGTATATTGTACCCTTGAAACGTCTCTATCAATGAGGAAAAAGATACTTCCTCAGCTTGATCAGCGGAAATAGGCCTCTTCGCAATATAATTTAGTCAAGAAAGCAATACAAAAAGGCCAACAATTCTTTTATTTATACTGACAAATGGAAACGAATATACATGGATTCAACACAGGAAGTTATTTAGTAGTAAACATTGGTCCAAGTTCTCCCAATGATTAACGATTTGAAGAAACACCAACCACACCACAGGGAACGGAGAGTTCAAAGGGCGGAGCATCGGATGCCGCAGCCAAGTAGGAGCATAGAAACGTAAAAAAAAAGCCATCGTGAGCACATGCTTTACGAAGAGAACCGATAATACTCCTGGTATCGGATTTGAAACAATCAAGAAATGAATCGTAGGAAGGAGTTTTTATTGGGCCGGATATTCCAAACCCGCAAGAGACTTTGTTCGGTTTATATTCGCGGAAGCCTGGGATCATAGCTTAATAGCCGGGAAGGCACCGTTCGACATGCCTGAACTAACGTCGGTCCCGAATCGAAGCTGCCACTGTTCCTGGAGCTGCGACCCATCAATCGTCACAGCCAGGGCCTAGCACTGATAATATAAATTATAAGTTACAATATGTCAATGAGAACAAGGACGTATTAGCTTGTATGCTGAGCCAGTTGGGGTTAAGATTGGCCCACTAAGCTCGAAAGTGGTCGTGATTAGGCGTGAAAGACTGAAAGCTTTACCGCCAGGATGAAGGGAGAAGGAGAGTCAGTATATCTGATGCTATCAGCGAAGCCTTTCTTAGTACTTGTACAGAACAGAAACCGAGGCACACTGGCAGTGGTATTGTTCTTGAAGTGGTCCAGTGGTGATGTCGGAATCGCAATTTAAAATCACTGCCATCACGTGCCGTTATGGGTCCATATGGGTGTAATGCTCTGTAGGCGTCTTTCTACGGACACAGATTACAACATCGAACTGTCTGTATTTTCCAGTAAACACATCAAAAGGAACACAAGTCCCCAGAATTGACAGACAGACAATGACGGACTGAAGTCGGCAAAGTGTCATTATGAACCGATGCAGAACTTGAAACTTGAAGCTTGAAGGATAAGTGACAATATACAAGACAGTTACACTCAGTGTATCAGCATACCACTAGCTCGGTGCCTAAGCTATGTCAGCGAAATGCCCGCTGCGGGCACAATGACACGAGCTGATAGTCCACTGCAAGTTGTATACACTGACAAAAGCAACTATATTGTCAATAGGACATAAGTTTTGCTTTGCGGTATTGAGCAAAATTTCGATACAATGTATCTTCTTATAAGCAGAGGCCCAGAACCAGGTGACATCGTGAAAGGTCAAAGCCTACAGCGGTTATGTTAGTGCTCTGCTATAAACTATTAATAGAATATTATATCGCAGATCTACTAATACGCCGATGGTGAAACGGTTATCATGCTTGCCTTCCAAGCAAGCGGTAGGGGTTCGACTCCCCTTCGGCGTATGGGCCAGAGAGTGTTTATTCAGTTGTTTTTTGCTCTCAGCAGACCAGTCCAGGGACCAGCGTGAGTCTTAGGGTTGCGCATGAAACCTCCAGGGTGGGTAAGTTACAGTTGATACGGTAATTTACTATTACTTTATCACGTGGAAACTCACAGGACTAGCATCTGGTAGTGGCAGATTTCTTTTGAGACTCTTTGTCTTTCGTGTTTTTATACACCTCGTTGATCTCTCACGCCGCAATTTAATGGAAAGTGCAAAAAATATCTATGCTTTTGTTTTATGTATATGATAGTACTGAATATAATGGCCAACCCATGCATAGTCACATGACAGATTACCTCGATGAAAACCCTGTTCCAAGCGAGGGGGGGTGAGTTACCGGTAATTAACTTCGGTGTATCAAAACCTCAGTTTCGTGCACTACTGTAGTCCAGGAACCAGTATGCCACATCCCATTCGTCAATGGTCATGCATTGTGCAACGAGGTAGAAAGCCAGCATTTAGTTCACCTGAGCTTTCAAGCAGTATTCAGTTTCGTAATAATCGGCCTAAGAATCAAGATAATGTCGCTGGGACTTTCAAAACCCACACTATTTTAACTTACTTAATAGTATCATAAACGGGTATCAGAAAGTACCAGACCAAAAAAAAAAGAGCACATGAATCCAACTCCTTCAGTTAGCGTATTTCTTTCGGCCGGACCAAAAAAATTCACCACTGCAGATAACTCCAGACAAGGCCCATGAATGATCCCATACTGTGAAAGTTGGTCCACACAAGACATGTCTGCAATGACACATCATCACTCCGAAAGGATCGACGTACGCAAACACAAACCGAACTATGAAAGCTGTGAAAAGAGTTAGAGAGAGTTTCCAACCACCATCACAGGACTGTTTACGAAAACACTATCACCAACAATAAACCAACAAGTTTCCACCTGATATTAATAGCTAGATCTGAATAGATAGACTATTACGTCCACGACCAACAATCCATTCATCTTCGGACTAGATTCTTCAGGTGGCAGCATCAGTACAATGTCCAGAAACAATAGCGGTGTGGCAACATGGAGTAGTTTTGCGACATGACCAAAATAGGTGATATCGCAGAAAGACGGCGCACCAAACTAACGACACATCCACGGCTTTATGAGCCGTCCGGTTCACCTTTCTTCTGTTCACCCTCTTCCGCGAGCCAGCGTCCTCTGAGATCTTCCCTCCGTCCTATCCGTCATTGGCGAATGTCATTGCCATTCGACACCTCTTTCGAAGAATTGATCTTACCTGAGGTTGATACGGTGAGCATGTCCTTTCCGTCTAATCTGTCTGCCACCGGTGTTCAACGGTGCTACAGGTACTGGGAGACCTACTCACACTGGCGAGGCAGTTGATAGACATGAGCGATTCATTGCCGGCCGAAATGGTGAGGTACCCGACTATTATTCTCGCGTTGTCTAAACGTCTTTCAGAGTATCGACAGAGACGCCGTGGGATTCGAAGTCGCGGGTCCGCCTATCAACCCGATAGCAGCCCCAATGAACGGAACAGAACGCGTCCCAACCTCGCCCTACACGTGTACGGAGGCCGATAAGTACACTGACGCGCACGAAGCTTTGGTGAGTTCGCTCCTATATCATTCGCGCGCCAGTATTGATTCACCACAGGATTCGTTTTTCCGAATTAAACGGGTCTACAGCAAATTCGGGAGAGAGGGAGTAAAGAACTCTGACCGAACTCAATCTCAGAAAACTAGACGCTCATTTCCTGCCACCCGTCCTAATGTGGATGGTGCCTCCGTACACCCAAGCCCCAAGGTAGAAGTGCAACGCTCGTTTATACCAGGGCCACCGATTTATGCCGACGCGACAATCCCATTCGCTTACTCCCGGACTCATACCCAGCCTATCTCTCCATATGATTCTTGCAGTCGTGCCATTCCAGTTAGCGCTCCAGTCCCAAACTTTAATTTCTCCAGCGGCTACGAGCAGTGGAGGTCTCCCGCTCAGAATCCACCAAATAACGCATATATGCACTCAAAGCCTGGCCCGATAGCCCAGCCAAACTTCACAACGGGGTTTAATGCCGTTCAGCGCATCGTCAAGCCCCAGACCAAGTCTCCCCGGGGGCGCCGAGTCTACAACGCCCCACTGGCGCCTCGTTTTACCGCTGCCGCTGCCCCTAGTTTCCCCACGAACTTCGGCATCAATCCACATGATGTCAACGCAGCGGAACGAATCCCTCCTGCGGTTCCTCGGTTCGATCTCGGTGCTCTTGCAGTCAAGCCGCCTGTGAGAGAACCAGAGGCGCAAACGTCGCGCGTCATAAAGGCTAATCAAGAGAGGCCTGTGTTTACCAATCCCTGGGATAATAACAAGATTATCGAGGAGGATACGTGGTCCGATCCTGCTCCGGCCGCAGGTGTGCAGGATGACGCACCAGTCGAGACCTCCAATAGTCAGGTAGATGGTGGATCTCATTGCCTTAAAGAAACGTCCAATCAGAGCAATTATTTCAGGATCAACGTCCAAGCAACCACCTCTCGTACCAAGATCGAAGGACTCGACTACAACGTCCCGTTCGAGCACATCTTCGACCTTGACCTTGCTGACCCAAGAATCGCCTGGTGGACTGATCGTTTCAACGAGATGCGTGCCCTTGGGATGATTTGACTCTGTACCTGTATTCGTGTATCCGACTGTAAACATAGCATGAATACGGACAATCTGAGGATGCAATGTCTCCCACATATATATCACCAACGGCGAGAAGGTAATATCAAACCCAGCTGAGTGCTACATCAAGTAGATTGGAGGCCTGTACTCTTCGTCAGGCGAAACGGAAGGTACAGTGAAGCGATGTCTGAGGCGATGACGACGACCAACGTGGTGGGAGGAAACTGTTGTATCTCCCTACGAAGTGCCCTAGTTTGTTTGTATTTCCTTCTAAAGCCTACACACCCTGCCCAACCTCCCGGCGAATCCTTATCTGCCTCCGTCTACTCCCTATTTTCATTATCACTTGCCTTTACTTTGTACTGTACTTATATGACTTTACCTTGACTCAGAATACTGTGCCTATGATGATTCACTCTATTCATTTCCCTCATCCTCCAATCACCTGTACTTTATTACGGCCCCCAAATATTCTGTACATTAGCATAAAAGACGTAGGGACATCAATACACTTAGAATTCTCTCGTCGCTATTCCCTCCGAACCGGCATCGGACCTAAGAGGATAGGGCAATACCTCACTTGATCAAATGCGGGGCTCACCACTTTCTTTGCAACTTGCAATTGTCAGAGAGCAGGATATACTCTCGCATTCGTACGTCTAGTGGTTTTACCAAGGTTCTCGACACTGATCGGAAAGTTTTACCCAGACAGGTTCTCACAGAAATTGTATATCACTAGGAAGTAGTGCTCTACCCCTCCTACCATATCAGCCCTTGACCAACCAACCAACCCCCTATGCTAATCCCACTGAAATGTCCCACGACCTTTCCCCCTGACGATCCTCTCCTGGCCCAGCTTGCCGCTGCGCTCAGTCCAGACGCATATCATGCCCTGGAACCCATCCTGCAGTCTCTTGCCACCTGCATTATCTCTGCAGAAAGTTGCAGCTAATGCAGCGCAACAGAACTTGATGCAACAGAACCCCTACTCCATTCTCCAACTCCAGGAAGCTCTTCAGACAGCTCTTACTGGCGCAAATTTCACTGTCCAAACTGCAGCTACTAATGCAGGAGGACGTCCCAGCACCCTTCGCATTGACCTGCCAATCTTCAAGGGCACCCACAGTGAGAATGTCCGTGCTTGGTTGAGCATCCTCGATGACCAGCTCAGCACCAGTCACATAGCAGTTGCAGACCGTACTGTCTCTGCATCTGGACTCCTTCGCGACAATGCTCAGACATGGTACTTGGCACTCAAACGTGCCAATAACGACTGTCCACTAAGCTGGGATGACTTTCGTGCAGCACTCCTCTGAGAGTTTGACTCTCCTACTCGGATTGATGAATTACGCTCGGAGATGGACAGGGTTCCATACTCGGGGGATGTCTCCAACTACTGCTTAAAGTTTTCAGAGGGTAGAAATGCAGATTAGCGAGGATGAAATGACGTTCGGAGATCGCAAATACCTCTTCAACAAAGCCTGGAGGCTTGGTCTCGAGAGGAGGAGAAGGGGCATAGCTCGTCACCAAAACGGTTTGACCTCAAGGAGGAGAACCTACGAACCATTGCTTTCGAGTCTCGCTGCTTGTCCCCCACTGAACAGCGGTACTCTGCCCAGGAACGAGAAATGTTAGCCATTGTTCATGCTCTTCAGAAATTCCGTGCTTACATTGAGGGATCCCCTGTCGTTGTTCGCAGTGATCACGAATCCTTGAAGCACGTCCTCACTCAGCGTAACCTTGGCCGCCGCCTCACCCGCTTCGTTGATGACATCTCCCATTTTGACCTCCATATCATCTACCATCCTGGACATTCCCAGCTCGCAGCTGATGCCCTCTCCCGTCGAGATGAACTCCCGCCCACTGCTGACACCGCTGGCTACCAGCCTCTCTTCGTACATGCTACAGAGCTCAAGCCTGAAGGGACCGAAGAAGACCGTATCAGACTTCTCACATCGACGGTCGCTTCAGTATACTGGCGCGCTATCACAAAAAGCTTACCGATGGTGCTGATCCCTCAACAATTAGCAAGGGCAATTACTTCACTCAAGAAGGCATTCTATTCAAGAATACTGCCCCTGATGATGAAGAGGGTGGAAACGAGTCTATTATGGTGGTGCCGACATCCCTTTCTGAGGCAGAAAACATCATCCGTGCTCTCCATAACGATCTCGGACACCTAGGCATTACAATTGTCACTGTGGCCCTTCGTCCGCGAGTATGGATGCCGTACCTTGCAGAGCTTGTCGAGCGTACACTCCGCACCTGTAAACTATGCCAATTCACTCGACGTGAACCATCTATCCCTCAGACTCACCGTCCTCTCCCTCGCGTCAACCTTGGTGATATCTGGGCTTTCGACTTTGTTGGTCCTCTGACAAAAACCAAGAACAGAAATCAGTATATCCTTAATTCCATGGATTTAGTGACAGACTTTACTCATGGTAAAGCTCTACCTCGTCGCTCAGGCGAATCCGTGATATCCCTGCTCCAGCTGCTCATATCTCTACTGGGTGCACCGTTAGCTATCCTCACCGATAATGGAGAAGAGTTCATGTCTTACGTTGTTCAAAACTTCCTTCAACGCATGAAGATTCATCACCTCCATACCTCGCCATATCACCCACAGATTAATGGGCGCCTCGAAAAGTTTAATGACACCTGCGTTCAGATGTTAGCTCGCTATACGATACCCAATAGACAGGATGAATGGGACAAATACTTGCCTGACACTTTCCTTGCCCACAATGCCCATATCAACCGTTCCATCAACCACTCCCCACTCTATATGCTCTGTGGCCGTGAACCTCGCCTCCCTCATGACACTGTCTACAATATTGTACGCCTTCCTCCTACTGACAAGGAGATCGAAGCCCTTCAGAAATGTCACCTGAAATGTGTCTATAACTTGGAGAAATTCAGAAAGGAGGCCAATGCAGAAGGGCACGAGCTTCTTGAACGGATTGCGAAGGAACAGGAGCAAGGATACTTAGAACGAGGCCTAGCGATTGGTGACCTAGTCAAGAGACAGAGCGAACGTCAGTCAAAGCTCCATCCTCGCTGGGATGGACCTTTTATTATCCGTGACATTTCAGACAAGAATACTTACCAGTTGATGACTAGAAATGGCTACATTCTCCAGAATCTTTACAATGGAGAACGACTCCGACGATATCACCCCCCTAATGGTGACACCTCACTCTGGTACGCTTCTGCAGACTTGCAACGGCGCGACGCATATCAAAGAATGAGGACAAGGGCTGCGTAACCGTCACTCGTCACAACCAGTTGTTCCATACACACCTCCCCGATTCAGCACTCAACTTCAATTCTGCCCTCGACACCTCAATTCTCGCACTTGACATTTCTCTTTTGCAGGAGCAAAAGTCTTAACGAGAGGGATTCTGACTGCGAATCAGGAGATTGCAGGATAGGTTCCAGGGCATGATATGCATCTGGACTGAGTGCAGCGGCAAGCTGGGCCAGGAGAGGATCGTCAGGGGGAACGTCGTGGGACATTTCAGTGGGATTAGCATAGGGGGTGGTTGGTTGGTCGAGGGCTGATATGGCAGGAGGGGTAGAGCACTACTTCCTAGTGATATACAATTTCTGTGAGAACCCGGCCAGGTAAAACTTTCTGATCAGCATCGAGAACCTTGGTAAAACCACTAGACGTACGAATGCGAGAGTATATCCTGCTCTCTGACAATTGCAAGTCACAAAGAAAGTGGTGAGCCCCGCATTTGATCAAGTGAGGTATCGCCCTATCCTCTTAGGTCCGATGCCGGTTCGGAGGGAATAGCGACGAGAGAATTCTAAGTGTATTGATGTCCCTACATCTTTTATGCTAATGTACAGGTGATTGGAGGATGAGGGAAATGAATAGAGTGAATCATCATAGGCACAGTATTCTGAGTCAAGGTAAAGTCATATAAGTACAGTACAAAGTAAAGGCAAGTGATAATGAAAATAGGGAGTAGACGGAGGCAGATAAGGATTCGCCGGGAGGTTGGGCAGGGTGCGTAGGCTTTAGAAGGAAATACAAACAAACTAGGGTACTTCGTAGGGAGATACAACAAAACAAGGGTTCAGAACGAACCAAATTACCGAAGTTTCCTCGATTTGGGTAAATTTCACTTTGAGTGGGTTTTTGGTGCTTTTCGCTGCGAACTCGTTTCCGTGTGTATAATTATTAGGGATGGGTGTGGCAAAGTACGCTAAATGATAAAGACGGTCCTTGGAACAATAATCAACCCCCCAAAAAACCAGATCAAATCAAATCAACCTTCCCTCGCTGTTCGGGCACTGACACCGCTCACTGGCAATTAATTACTGCCCATTCTTCGACCCGAGGAAAGAATCAAAAATGCCGGTGTCGATGCCCGCGAGACCTGTCAAAGATGCGAGGTTACCAGCTGGGCCGCCGGAAAGAGGCGAAGCAGTGGGCTCCTGCGATGATTCAGACGACGACGGCGGCGGCGACTCGGACGCCTGCTGAGGCACATCGGGAGCGGAGTTGGGAGAAAACGACGAAGGCGCCATGGGGAACGCGGTGAATGCCTTGGGGTCAAGCCCGCCGAGGCCGTTGCCCGCCGATAAGAAGTTGGAAAAACCCCCTGGCGCCCCGAATCCGGATCCTGATCCTCGAGCTCCGCCTGCTCCTGCTCTGCGTCCCTGAGCTCTGCGTTGCATGAGTGAGAACATATCGAAAGACATGATGTGATTGCTGCTCAGGTTCATCATGAGCGAACGATACTGAGAACAGAGATAAGCAGCATACCTGGGTTAAGGAAAGGAAAGGAAAGTGGTATAAAATACAGAGGAGGGTATCACTTGCAAATTGAAGCCCGAGTGGAGGTCAAGAGCGACTTGAAGGATTGGAAGGCTGCTACCAGCCTTTTTATACCATTTCATGGTCTCTGTATCAGCATGGCACGGCACGATAAGAACTGTTTCTTTGCCCACAAGTGTCTCTTGTTCTTCCTGTATTCCCATATTTAGGTTCCTGGGTCAGTGGGCTGCATACAGCCGGGGCAGCGATGCCAGATGGCCACGAGCAGGGTCCGCATACAGGTATACATGTGGACTGTTAGAAAGAGTATCAAAGCCAGAAGAGAGAAGGACGAAGCTAGTAGATAACATTGCGGCAAAGCTAGCCCGACCAAGGAAAGCTTTCTCATTCGGACAAAGTACCAGATAAACGGATATTTCTAAAGTAAACCAGAATATGACTCAAAGCGAATTTTTGCGGCGTGTCAGCTAACGGGAGAAATGGCCAAAATACGACTGCAGCGCCGTGATGGGCGAATCTCAGAATCAGATTGTGACGGCTCTGAACGCATGTCACGACGCACGTGCAGCGTTACCTTTCGTACTACCGAACCCCATGGAAGTACGCTAATGTTCCCGAATGCGGATTCTCTTTCTAATCCTTGGCTCTCAGCGGTCAATATTGTCTTACAGAACTGGAATCTCGTCTATGAGGATTTCATCATACCTTGCAGCCAAGTACAGTCTCCGGCGTCGAGTGGTTGACTCATACACTAGACAGCCAAGGGAGATCATGTCGTTTGTCACCCAGTACACGCCCGTCTTTACGACCATTGCGCAGACTCTCGTATTATTCGAAGACATGGCTCGGGACATGTATGTGATGATTAGGGATGACTCCGCGAGGCGGGAATTACTTTCCCATGTTAAATTAGGATAAATATAGCGTAGCCCAGATAGAATTTTGGCTGAATAGTGAGCTTTATTGGAGAGCGAACTGATGTTACTGTTATTGTTAGCGTTGGTACCAGCACAAGGCCTCAATCATGGAACGGCTGGATCATCGTCTACAAGTTTCATGAGCAAGTAGCCATGCCAATGAAAGGAACACGCACTCGAGTGGCGAGGGAGCCTAGAGATGAGCACCCCTTTCAGAGTCTCAATAAGAACTAGCGGAATGTCCTTCGCACCAAGATCGCGCATGCATAAGCTCGCGTACGGAGAAGAGTTTGCAACATGCCACAAATATTCCCAACAGGACGTTCCGGCACACTAACATGCCTAGGCTAGGCACCTCCTTATGGGCTGGCACCGCTCGTCCTCGGATAAGTCGGGCGTCTGATGAGGCATGGAAATGTTATTGATGAAACGAAGGAAAGATGCAAAGAGTTGCCATCGCTCGACGTCTCAAAGTAACAAACGGTCCCCCAACTTCATTGCCGTCCAAGACCGGGTTAAAACCTTGCTTTAGAACTTCATAAGCGAGGGGGGAACCCCAAGAAACACACCTGTGGACCTTGACACTAAGACTTTAATGCGAGCCAGTCAAGGCGAGTCGCCACTCGATTTTAGCAGGTAAAAATAAATTGATTAAAACCAGACCTACAGGAACGATATTCTCAGCCTACATGCCGCATCCTAGATGTTATATGCAAGACGAGATACCGTTTTCCCCGGCGTTCGAAAACAAAACAAAGAGAGAGGCGTTCAGGGTTCCCAATTTGTCATCAGCTACGGCCACACAAGGTTGAACTCTTTCATAGCTCCAATATGGACATGAACTCGTTTCAGACTCAAGAGGATGAGACGCTCCTCTCTGAGAGAATTTACTCCCTAGTGAGTGCGATTTCACTGGCGATGCTGATAGCCACACCTCACCGGCTTGCAGATCGACACTATAGGGATTGCAGGAGCGATTGAATCCATGCCTAGGACAACCGGTGTTGCAGTGAAGCCCATGGGAGATTTAGACCTCGGCTACATTGAGAGAAGTCTGGTGAGCACATTGGCGAGATGTTAAATAAAGTAAAGATCAACTCATTCTCAGCAGGCGAACTATGCTGCCATGCCACAAAGACTCAAGGCTCCCCATAATGCTCCTCGCAACGTGCCTCCCACTGATCCCGCCGCATTTGATGCCTGGATTGTCTCTCTCTTTCTCCAGGAGAGGGCTGATGACACATACCATCATCCAGAACGGCTATACGAGCGCGAACAGCCCTCACGCCAACCTCCACCCACTGATCCTGTGGAATTCGATGCCTGGATTGTCGCCATGACACGAAGCAAGAAGGCCGACAAGACCCATCATCGCGACGTTGTTCGCGATGAACACCCCAATAACACATTTGTAGATATGTTATCAAGCGGCCCATCGGGGTCAACGACAGCAATGACAGGACCCTCGTACCCTCAGCTTCCATGGTGGATCGTGCCCACTGGGCTCCCTCCACTGCTCCACAACCCATGCCCGGTCGTCGCCACTACAACCCCGAGCTGGCTCACTGGCACCAACGGAGAGTCGTCGGTTATATTCATGCCCCATGCGCATATGTAGCGACGTCCAGTTGTATCTACAAGTCTCATTCAATTTCTTTTCAGAATGAGAATATCTTTCCAAACTCACTTGTTCGAAGTCTGCAAGCCCGTCAGTTCGAAGTACGTTTTGTGTTAGATGTGTCGACGAGCAGAGATAACGGTGCGATTCGCCGACTCGTCTTCCTGTCATTGGCTGCTCTTCGTCAGAGGGAAGTCATAAAACAATGTCACTTATGGCAGCAGCAATGAACAGGCAGAAGGCATTGTTGCCAGTAGCGGGCTCACGTATTTGCTGGCAGTGGTGGTCGAGAGGAAGGATGACGGAGTCACGTCACATTTCTCTTTGCCGTAGACCTCAACGTCTGCAATGACTCGATATCTCCCTTGTTTGTCTTTCTCCCTGCCTATCTTCATACCTCTGACGGGCGCAAGATAGTATTCTACTTTTGAAGAAGGACAAGGCATGCTATCTTAGCTTTTCTGTCGCCTTCTCCTACTGAGCGAAAACATTTTACAGACTTTCTCCTGCGATTTTCTTTGATCTGGCTTAACAGAACTGCCTACGTATGTGTCGAGTCGCTCGCAGAATGAAGGGCGATGCTGGATATGGAGCGGGGCGGTCGTTGCGCTAGTAAAACCGACACGGAGACGTGCTTCTGGTCGCCATCCTCCTCTTTTTCTGGCTAGCATGGGCTTCCTGTACCATGGATCATGCAGGGGGAGAGTAGAATTCGGCAAGGAACAGTATGTTTTCCATTCTTGGTCGTGTTGCCCTTTCATGCAACGTTGTCTAGATCCTCGTTCTTTTCCTTGTCACTAAAATACCCCTTCGTAACGGCGCAAGATATATCTTGAGGGGCGATTAGAGCATGTTCGTGAAGACAGATGCAAAGGCGCGGTCCTCCTACTTTATTACGTTCTCCCAATCCTGACCTCGATATTTAGGCCGAAGAACACCAAATCGGCTCATTATCGAGGCACAGACTTCCCTCTTTTTTTGTCTTCAGCACCGAACAGCGTTCGTTAATCTAGACTACGAGTCTTCGAGGTGGAATACACAACAATTCCGCAACTCAGGCTAGCGACGTTGGGCTGACTACAAGGTCTACCTTGAATTGAAATGTAGAACAAGTATATGCGGCAGCAGGTAGGTGCGATTACAAAGGTCTTGTTTTTGGACGACAGTCTGAGATGTTTGTAGGCCTCTTTAATGGGAACAAAGGTGCGGCAACCGGCAAAACATTCCTCGTTCAGTGGCGTTGCGGCGATCTCAAGCGCATGTCGCCGTCCACGACGATACTTCCCAGGCTACGCCTTATATAAGATGTTATTGGAGACGTGGATTAGTGCTAGTTCCGCTACGCGAAACATCCAAGTATCAACTTTGGAACATGAGTTGCTACGGTCGAGTAATTGAGCACCTGGGAGGGGGCAGTACAGTGTTCCGCTCAATACAATGTAACTCGTTTCCTTTGTGTTCCGTATTTGTTATTGACGATGCTTATAAGAACTGGATTCTGTTGTCAGTTCAGACAATCACCTTCATCAAACATGACTGCTCCTCAGCCAGGTCGGTGTCTGATGTTTTCGCAACATTGGCTTACTTTGCTGACAAATCTTGTACAGTGAACGCATACATACTAGCTCTTCCTAATGAACTCCTCGAGGAAGTACTGTCACCGGAAGTACGGGAGGAGCGTCATTACGACAACACAAAAATTGGGATCGTCACCCTCTGCTCCGTTTCCAAACGTTTCCGCGATGTTTTCCTTCGGCACCTTTACCGCACCATCCGTTATCATGATATACGCAACATGAGACCGTTCCTCGACGTACTTCGCTTCCGGGGCGTCCAATACGTCGTGCACCTCGACCTGGTGCTTCACCCAATCCTCTGTGTACCCGGTTACGATCTCCTTAGCATGCTTGACTTGTTCCTTCTTTCGCTGCCGAAACTTGAGGTTCTCCAGTCTCTCCGCCTGGACATCCGTCCAACGCCAAGAGACCTAGAGGACAGTTACACCACCGTCATATCGGTCGTTGAACGGGCACCCGCAGATGTAGTGCATTTGTCTCCAGAAGTGGTCAATACTCTTAATTCGGTGTTCCAAACCCTTCCTCAATCACTTCGCTCACTTTCTTTGAGTGGGTTCTGTTTTGAAGATGCCACAGCAGGTCTAGCGGCTACCGAATTCCCTTCTCTACGCACCCTGTCGCTCGACCTGAACGGGACAGGCGACCCGTACATCGTCAACCGTCGGCACTTCTTGCGGGGAATGCCTCGCCTTGAAAGCATCGAGCTTCCCGTGCAGTGGTGTCCTCGCAGAACGTTGTTCAGACGAGTGTTTGCCGGTCGCAAATTCAAACACATCAAGATCGGATTTACTGGGCGGATGCGCATGTCCGACACGGACACGCATGAGGATCATGCATGCCCATGGAACCGGTGTATCGTCGGGTTGCTCCGACAATCTTCCTCTATCCTGACGAGTCTCAACATTGGGACGATATCCCTCATTATTCCTCGCAAAGTAGCGTTCCCTGCATTGACCTCGCTCACTCTTCTCGATATCGAATTTGGCTTTAATGCTGGTAAGGAGCTCCAAGCACTCCTGGCGCCCTTTCTTAGCTCTCCGCTCGAAGTACTGGAGATACTGGAGTGTCACAATCTTCCGGCTGTGTTGGTGGGACTCATTGACACCCATTGGCCAAAGTTGAGGAAGCTTAGCGTGTCGGAGCTCACTACCGTCAAGGACGAATACGATCCTCCGGATCTTTATCCTTATTTGCGTTGTTTGGGAGATGATGCTGCTTGGGATGCGGAGACACGGAGAGAGCTTGAAGCGATATGCGAACACCGGGGGGTGGATGCATGGCTGGATTGGGGGTACGCAGACTTACCCTGGAGGGATTAGGACTCTTCATCAGCAAGTAGGATATTATCTCTACTGACTAGTGTTTGATACTGTAACAAAGAAGAAATTATCATCTACTACTGTTCATTCCGTGATATACGGATTCGGAATCGTCTTCACCCAAGGCACGTAGATTGCTGGTATCACTCTCCGTGGTAAAATCACTAGGCTTGGTACTGGTATACTGGCCGGTGCTACTGGAAGCTGTTTGCTCGCAGGTCAGCACGGAGATACCAGTGGTAGATGCATGGAAACAGTCATTTCGTGGGCATAAGCAGGGGGAGCCGAGCCACGAGATTGGTCGTTGACACCCATAGATCTCAGCTGCCATCGACAAGCAAGTCCTTGCTCTAAGACGTTGTCTGGAGCATGTGGATCGAAGAATAATGAGAAGAACGACTCGATCTGGCCACAGGTGGGGCGATCGAGCCTGGGGGTGAGGGAGGGTCCGAGAACGTCGCTGGGTGCAGGTGTCCGATGCCAGAGTACCTTCAGGCAGCGTGATGACGCCTGATGGGCGATACAGCACATTGCAGTGCGAAAGGAGCAGTGGCGCAGCAGCCGTAGACAAAGGATTCGCATCTCCAGAGGTGGATGCGAGCATGGTAGCAGTCACTGGTGGTAACGACGCACACTCAGTTGAGGGCGTGTAGTGGGGCAACTGCTGGAGAACCTCGAAAGTATGTCGAGATTCGGGTCGAATAGAGTATTGCTGCATAGCAACAGAGTTCTCCGAGGCTGAACATTGAGCCATCCAAGATGATAGTGGTCAGTTGTAAAGAGATAGTCCGATCAATATGGAGGCGCAATAGGCGTGGCTAAAGGTACAGGTAAACATTGATACATATTATAACTCAAATCTCTTACAGATAGCGTTCGAAGACCTTGAGTATACTCCATCAGTGATGAGTTGCCAGCGAACGATGGGGTTGACTGCGTTCTAGTAAGATTATAGGTAGGAACGAACATCTGAGTATGATAGATCATAGTGAGAAGACGGCTGCAAGGATAATAAGGAGACCGAAATTAGCTCTTTGTATTACGGTGGTGAACTGAGCTGGTTTTCGAACAGATTGGTAGGACTCAAAAGTAGTGAATTGAAAGAAGCCTCAAGCACAATGCCGGTTTTCGGATCCAACGAGACCACAATTGATGTCTTCTCGATTTGGACATCAACGCTTATTATTTTTCTCACTCATTCCACCGCGTCATCCTGTAGTTTCGAAGCCTTCGAATCCAAGTAACTCCCTCGTCATCTTGTGTAAGTGAATTTGTGTCACTGTAAATTTTCCCAGGCGCATGCTTATCACGGTGCGTCTCTTATGTTGCTCACTGTTGACTGTCTACTTAGTAAGTATAGACACCGTGCTTGCGAGAAATAGCTGCGATCCAGTACTACTAAGGCGAAGGGAGAAACTGATTTAACCTGTCAAAGGGGAATGAGGCATGTTATTTCCACCGATCATTCGGACCTTCGATAGCTAGATAGATTAGAAGTTAAGAGGCTCAGTATCACGTTCGACTAGCGATACCAGTTCAGTATCAAGATTCAACCTTCATAAATGTTATAGCACTCTTCTATGAAATCCTTATTTCTCGCAGGTTGCGGCTATCTTTTCGATTTCATTATGCATTGCATGTGAGGACGGGATGAAGAGGACCTCGTTGTTCTCAACAAGGTGGAACAGTTCGTAACTATCAACGGATTCTTCGAGCGCTCTGATGGGAATGTCTTGGCAGTCGTTAATCTTCATATGTTAGCTTTACAGGCACTCTTTCAAATGAAGATGGGACTACGACTGGGAGGTAAGTCAATGTTGGCACATTGAAGAAGTATCAGTACTTCATCAAATGCGGTTCCGTAGGATCGTTTCAGGATATGATATCTGGTATCAAAATGTGACGAATGTTTTGAAGGATGCTTTGAGGGTGCCAAGGAGGAAGATGCATCAAGTAATAGAGATAGGCGGGAACCAATTCTACTAATCGTCGTCTGACAAAAGTGACGTTGAGAATGATGAGATTGATAGCAGAGACTCCCATCATAGTGGCTCACGGGAAGAGGTGGATGGTAATGTTTTACGGAATTGCGTCACTATTGCAGTCAGGACTAAAAGGCATTTGTGAGAATAGCCAAGCAAAAACCAGTTTTTGACATATGAAAAATGTCCTACAAAAGACTCCAATAATAGTGCATGTCCGAAGTCACAAGCTTCACGTTGCCTGGTCATAGAAGTTCCACCCAGTCGTCGACCCAGTCATCCTCAAAGTCATCCTCCAAAGTCGAAATGTTGACGATGTCCTCGAAGAGGGCACAGATGAACTCTTCCGCAGCCTCCCCGAAGGTATAGACTAGAAACAAAACTCTTTTGTCAATGAACGGTCGAAGAGAACGAGCTTCAGATGTATACCTTGGCAAGAGTTGCATTTCTCGTGAGCAAAGCAAAGGTCCTTGCACTTCGCAGATGGGCCGTTCAAAGCTGATCAGGATCGGAAGGAGAGAAGGAGAGAGAACGTACGTCGCCGAAGCAAGAACAATGTTCTGGGACATTTAATGGACAGTGCTTGTCCGTTCCTGGCAAGGTCCACGACGGTTTTCAAGGAGCGCAAGAACCGTAATATGCCCTTGCTTGGACAGCGGTTTCTGCTTCCGGCTGGCGGTGCTAGAGAGGCCGGGAACTATGAGAGTGGCGAGAGAGAAGCGCATGGTAATAAACGAGTCAAGCGAGAATGAGTGGTTACAGATGTGGATAGACGAGAGTGGAGAGACTGTCAGGATCCCAGAGGTACAATCTCTCTCCACAGATGCAGCTCGAGACGTCTCCACTCCTCAACACGGTCATCACTTCCGATGATGTCACTACAAGAGCCATGGATGTCGAAGCTAAGGGAGCGTCGTGCACATATATTCGGCTATCAGACCCTTCCCTGTATCAAGAGACGAAACCTGCAACAAAATGTATTAGGTTATACGCATACAAGATACTGAGAACATCGAATCACCATCGGCAGGTCCAAGAAAAATGCAAAGAAGAGCAAATTTGAAGAAAAGAGGGTCTGGACAACGTTAGGAAGGCAACGCAACAAGGAACCCAAAACACACCTTTATCTCGTCAATTTATCCGTCAGCTCCTCTCTTCTGCATTACGAAATGGGATTCGGTGCTCATTGCAGCTATGGATTGACGAGCTTGGAGAGCAGAAGCACGGGTTCATATTGATCTTACAAGCATAGAACTGGCACAGTGTAGCTATCATCTGTCGTTGGATAAGTACATACTCGGAGGATTTGCGACATCTGAAAACACGATTTAGTGTTGCACCATGCTATGATTGTGACGAGGACATACAAAAGGATATGTCTCAGCTACGACCACCTTTACAATCCAGAGATTTGGAGGCGAGTCGGTTGCGCTAGGGAACGAAATATAGTCGATAAAGAAGAGCATCTGCATTGTCCTGCCTCAGTACAAAAAGAAGCAAGAAAAGACTGGAAAACGCATGGGTATATAGTTCCCTCTGTCACATTATTCTTCGAGATCAAGCCCGTGCTAGCTGAAAAAAGCGGGCCCCATTAATACTAAGAGAAGAAAAAATATCTTTGTAGACTAGCTCCTGGAGAAATCCTAGTATGAAGTTTTGAGCGTACATCTCTTCCTACGAGCGTTCTCTGGTACGACAATGACCACTGCTTTCGGGAGAACACTTGTTTGCTCTGCACAAATGAAAACCGGGAATTTCTGCATTGTACTGTTCAGATACTTATCGAAAGCACGAAAACAAATTGATTACGGACCTTGACCCTTTGCGGCGTACGTGTGAAGCGAGGTTGATGCCGCGCCACAGGATTTCACGCTAGGTCCGTCCCGGAGCCTCATTTGACCAGCTGGTAGGCAGGTGCGAATGCGAACAAAAGAGAAAACCACAAGCAACTCTTAGCGAAAGAGAAAAGAGGACGGTCCTTTCTGTGTTAGATACACATGTGGCGAGCCAGTCGAGGAGATAACTTGAGGACAGGGAAATCTTGTCATACATGTGCCAGGTAGTGGTATACAACCTAAGAGATAACTCTCAGCCTGAGAATTAACCTCGAATGAAGTAGGACCCACCTTGGCCGTGGTTTGCCAGACGTCTGGGAAGAAAACAATGGCTCGTCTTCAGGGCTGGTCATTTGAAATTAGTACAACGACCACACCAACCTGTCAGTTTCCAATGAACTCACCCCTTGACATGGAGGACTGGGAGGTATCAGTGTTGGAGGTCCGAGATTGGACCTATACCCTTGTGAGTACGATCGCATATATCAAGGAGTTGCCACTGATCGCCACATTGCAGATCAAGGTCTTGGGTTTCAGGAATGTTATAGGTTTGAGGGATAGGGCTTTGGCAACTCCTCTGAGTGAGATGGGTGTCATGCTGCTTACCTGTGAGGGTGAAATTTTGGTGAGTGCATCGTACTGGTACAGAAACTGGGGAACTCAATTGGTGGTAGAACAATCACATCCAGGTCACCGAACAAGTTATGGCCTGGAGGAGCAACATTGACATCGTACCAAGCCATACACCACTTATGCACCCATTCGATTTGCATCGACATATGCTGTCGATCTTAAATGATAGGCCCTTGTTGGAAATCCTCGGTGATGCACAGGGTAGACTCCAGGCTGGTAAGGCCAGAAGGTATGAACTCCTTATTCTACAGCTCCTACAGAGCTTGTATTTGTACTCTCCAGACTTATATCTAGAATCTACTACAACTTTCTCTTTCTCTTGGGCTTACTCATCAACTCTCAGCATGATGCCGGATTGCCCTTTCTAGAACTTTCCAGCAAAATCCCAACAGCCCTATATTCCCCGTGAGGCCCCGGACTATGTGCCTCCACTCGATGCTAGTGTGGGACAGGTGGTTCTTGCTGATGCTCCTCAGCAAGCAATGCTACAACAACAAGAAGGTGGAGGAGGAGCGGGAGCTGTTCTGGTGCATTGTCAACTATGACCCACTTGCTGAGCCCAATGACTGGGAGGACTTCATGTGCAGCAAGAAGGACAACATGACCCAGCATCATCACACCAGTCATGATGAACCATCCAACACCATATACAACAATACAGCATCCATCAGCCTATTGGGGTGGACAACAATGATGCCAAACCACTTGTACCCTCTGCCACCACCTTACCACCAGCACAAGGAATATCCAACAATCCATCCAATGCAGCCTCCATCTCTTGCCTTAGATGCCAGATATCTGGTTTGGTCCTCAAGCTGATAGGCTTGTTTGTTCAGGCTGTGTAATATTGTTGAGAGCAGATTGCATAGTGCAGCAAGGAAAGCCAGGTCTGGAGTTGAAGGTCAAAAGCTGGTAAGCATTGACTTTTGATCTCCAGTATTGGTAGCTATGATTATGTAAGGTAAGAGTGACATGGAGGGTGTGCTACTTCAACACTCTCCCTCAACTGAACATGTCTACAGAGGTATTGAGACAAGTCTGAGTAAGGTAATCATATCCCAGTGGGCTGTGCCAGGGTTTTTGCTGAATTGTGAGAGTATGCTCACAGGATAGGCAACATCAGGCCTGATAGCAATAGCAAGATAGGCCACAGAGCTGAGCACATTCAGATCCATAATGGGATTGTCCACATTGTCTTATATTCCTCTGGTGTTTTGGGAGACTGATCTGCTGTAAGTTTTATATTTGGATCCAAAGGTGTCAGAACAGAGTTGCAGTTGGCCATTCCTGCACATTGCAGAATATCTAAGATGTATTGGCACTGAGAGAGAGTGTGTGTTCAGTTGGCTTGGTCATGCCTGATCTCGACACCAAAAAGGTAAGATATTGGACCCAAGTCTCAAAGCTTGAAGTGCTTCTTGAGATCATTGATGACCTTTGCAACACCATCTGGTGTCTTTGTGGCAATGGTCATGTCATCAACAAAGACTGGAATGATGATATGTTCACTGTCCCTCTTGTAAACTCAGACACTATGCTTGTATTTTATCCATTCAAAACCCATGGCATTAGTCAATGTTGCATGTAGCTTTTTATGCTATTCTCTCCTGGCTTGCTTTAGTCCATATAGAGACTTGAAGAGGTGCCAGACTCATTCCATTCTTTTCTCCTCAAAATCTTCCAGCTGCTCCATATACACCTTTTCTGTCAGCTCACCATTGAGAAATGCTGATGAGATATCAACACTCCATAGCTTTAAATCCTTAAGGGCACTAAGTGCTAGGACAGCTTGTAGGGCAGCCTATTTTGGTGTTAGAGAGAAGGTTTCAGTGTAATCAAAGCCAGGTCATTGTGAGTATCCCTTTGCAACAAGCCTTGCTTTATAGTGCTCAATTGATCCATCAGCATTGCATTTCACTTTGAATATCCAGTGACTCCCAACTGCCTTTTGATTTGGAGGGCATTTTACCAATTCAAAGACATCATTTTCAATGAGTGCCTGTATCTCTTGCATAGCAGCTTCCTTTGGAGAATGTTTCAAAGCTTCACAGAAGGATCTAGGTTCACCATCATGTGTGGATGCCTTGTGAGCTGCTTCTGTCATGCTCTCAAATGTGACTTCCAGTCCTTTCTTCATTGTCAAATGCTCTATTATTTGGCTGGAGAAAGCTATGCCTTCAAGAATAGTTTTATCTTCCATAAAGGCTGTATGTGCTTGATCATCTGCATCTCTCACATGATCATCATTGTTGATATTTCAGCACATTCCATGACCATAACCAGGGCTAGAATCATATAAGCCATCATCATGTATTCTATATTTATGTTTGCTTAGATCTGTTGGAGATGGTGGTGATAGTGATGAAGTTAGGTCTGAGAGAGATCCATCAAATGGTGAGCCAGGAGAGGTCATAACATTATGAGGAAGGGGTGATACTGGAGGTGATAGGCTTAGAGGAGATAAGGGATTTGGTGCTGGAGGATTTTCTGGAGGTGGAAGATCATCATTGTTAAGGTCTCTCCCTTGATCAGGCAGCATAGGAGAATCTGACAGATTTGAGAGTGAAGAAAATAGATCACCAAAGGGGTTAATAAGAGTTTTTGTATTTCCTGGAAACATCTGCTTATCAAAAATGATATGGCTTGATATGATGAACTTCTTGATTACAGGGTTCCAGCACTTCCATGCCTTTGTATCTGATAGATATCCAATGAATATGCATTTGGTGGTATATGGTTGAAGGCCTTATTGCTTGTTCTTTTTGACATGGACATAAGCTAAGCAGCCAAAGACACACAAGTTAGAGATGTCAGGTTTTTTCTTGTGCTAGCCAGTATATGGTGTTGTTTTAGAAAGTGGTGCTGTAGGGCAACAGTTGCACATATATGCAAATGCAAGCACTGCTAGTCCCCAGAAGGAGGGAGAAAGACAAGCTTCATAGAGCATAGTAATAGCCTTTTCTGCAATATCACAATTTGCACATTCTGCAATTCCATTTTAATGAGGCTCATCAGGCTCAGTATGGAACCTTGATATCTCTTCTTCTATGCATAACTGATCAAATTCATGACTCATATACTCTCCTCCACTGTCATCTTGCTTCTCTAAGATCTTAAGACCATGAAAAATTTCAGCATAGACTTTGTAGCATTTAAATTCAGCCAGAGCATCACTTTTGTGCTTTAGCAAGGTGACAGCTCAAAAATGCAGAGCACCACATATAAAAGTGATCCAGTAGCAATAACCTTCTGGTGTAGCAACTGGTATAGATCCCTTAAGATCAGAGAATACAATTGCAAGAGAGCATGTTGGAAGGAGTGAGGGCCCTCAGGGAATATTATATCACCTGTGCTTGTCTATAAAACAGAGTTTGCAAATTAGGTTGGGATTGGATTGCATATTGTTTATCTTCATGTTTAAGACAAGCTGATTCTCATACATGTCCTGGACAATGTTTATGCTTTTGTGACAGGTTTATCAATGCCATAGAGTCAGGTCAAATGGACAGGTGCTTGCAGTATTTGAGGTTATTTGCCTTGTAGTGTGAGTGGTGCCATTAAGATATCTGATGTTGTTATCATTGACAGTGGCTGAGAAATGAAGTGCTTTGTCTTGAAAGAACTGAACAGATGATCCAGCTATATTGATCTCATATTCCTTATAACATGTAAGATAGAAGAGTGAAAGCAAGTTATTGCAAAGATCAGATACATGCAGTACATCCTGAAACTTGACAGTCTCACAGACCTCTCCATTCTTCTCTTTAGGCTCAAACACAACTATTCTCATGCATGCTGAATAGATGATTGAATTGTCTGCTAACTGAATTGGAACCACATGTGGTGTCCAGACATGAAACTAGTCTTGATAATGGCTCATGTGAGATGAAGCATCTGTGTCTGTATTTCAGTTAGATGATGCTGGAGATAAGAGATCAATACTCGCTTGGCTGGCAGTCTCTTCCACAATGTTTGACTTCTCTGTCTTTGCCTCTCTCATCTTCTTGCCCAATTTTGTATTCCAACATTTCTGGACATGCTGTATAGCTCACTCCTTGGCTTTCTTTTTGCTGAAACACTCTTTCTTGGTATGTTCAGAGTTGGTGCACCAGCTGCAGGTGGTATCAGATGATGCCACATAAGTGGCTTAGACTCTAACAGTGCTTGCTTTGAATGATGTTGCTGAAGTGATGTCACAAGAGCAGTGCTGCATCTCTTCAGTGTGGAAGACAGCAACAAGTTTGTCAAGACTGAGAGAATAAAGGAGAAGGACTGATGACACAAAATTGTCATAATTGGATGAGAGAGCATAGATGAGAGTCATGTATTGAAGCTCTTCATCAAGTTGATTGATGGTGAACTTTTTGGAGCAGAGTGCTTTGATGTCTTATATAGCTTGTGAGACATATCCAATGAGAGTAGAGAGAGACTCTTTATCATCCTTCTGAATGCTGAATAAGGCATTATAGGCATTGAAATGGGTGCTCAGTTTTTGCTGTTGGTGAATGTCTTTCAGTTTTGACCATATAGCTGTAGGCTTACCCATGAGAAGACTGATGTGAGCATGCTGTGATTCATTAATGCAAAGCCAGAGATATCCTGCTGCAGATGAATGAGCTTGAAGATAAGCTTTTGTCTCCTTCTTTTCAAGCTTTGTGGATTCACTAGGGTTGACTTGCTCTGGTGGCTTCTCAGTGCCATCAAAGTGGCCAAATAGCCT